TATTTTACAATACAGTTCAACAATGGAGCTGTTAAGACAACTTAACGCGGTTCCCACAAAATATGACGAGAGGAGAAATATAAAACTTATAATAATTAAAAAAGAGTGTGCGAATATATAACGAAGATTTGATTTACCAGCACAGGTCAAGCAGCTTTTGGCTAAAATAAAAAAAAAATACGATACGAACAATTGAATGTACCGACAAGTCGGCTTGTGGTAAATTCTGACCTGTATAGATGTTGCTGCTCCATTGGCGTAACTATATGGTGACATGAGGTATCCCATGTTGAAGGAAGATGTGTGTGGTGTTGGCTCGATTTTTCCTGCAAATAAAAATTTACATTTTAATCCACAAGCTATATTACACAAACGTCGAAGCAACCCCTTTGGTATTTAAAAATGGACCAAGGTATTAACAAAATAGATGAACAATTCTATAAAGATGTTCACTATTGACCCCGAGCACCGAAAAAACCCGATGCATTTTTCAGAAATGATAAGAAAAGAATATCAAAACATTTAACGTTGCTACATTTACATACTATTTGACTTGGCGAATGATAAGATTGTTTTAGATATGAAGGACTAGTTAGAAACATGGTTGAAGAAAAAAACAGGGCAGATTACAAACAGTTCAGAATGTGGAATGCTCTGGATTCAGGGAAATGCGAAGATTGTCTCAGGAATGAGTGGAAATGACTTGTCCAACTAGTCTTTTTATGCTAACAAACCTGTAATGATGATGATGATGATGATGATGATAATGATCAGGTTGTCCCTTAACCCAAAACATTCAGAATTCCTGGTGCTTTTAAGTTGTGCTCAAACTTAGAATGGTGTTTGTAGATTTTGAGCACTTTTCTGAACAACGAAGTTAACTATTGCATAAAGCATAAAAGCTGTAGCAGGAAATCATAATAAAATGAATAGTATGACTGAAAAACATTCTTCGACCCTTAAATCCTACCCGGCTTTCCAGTAATTCACTGTTCTGATGATGATTTTCCTCTTAAATTTTTATTGATCCTTTTTTCCATTTCAAATTCCTTTATTGATTTCATCACTAGGAGCACATCCCTTTCCAACTACATTATTTTTAAACGTTTCAAACAAAAGTCTTTGTAAATATACTTACCGATTTTCATCATTTTTCAAATCGGTCATATTTTCGTGGCATTTTCCTTTGCAATTGATTACCTTTGATTTATTTTTTGGATTATGTTATTTTAATTGCTTGTAGTTTCCACTTTTCTTTTAGAATCGTTTCGTATCTAAAAGAACCAACCTTACTTAAGATTAATATGCTGAAAGATAGGGCGAATTTATGCCCTTTTGTTATCCATAATTATCCTGATGTGTGAAATGAGACGCTCTTCACAAAGGCCGTCCCAGGCGTTATTATAATAATTTAACAATTATAACAGCAAGAAGAGGGAAGAGAAGTTTTTTAGCTCTCAAGTACTTAATAGTAATCGTCTCATTTGAATGCGTCGTCCAGGGCGTCGTGAGCGTCGTTCAAGGCTCGGAATATGCAAATCGAGCCACTTGACCACTTTCCTTCATTCTCTCCCTCTGTCTTTTTCATCATCAAATCCCATTATTTTTTTGTGCCAACGTTAAAACAGTTGGCCATTCTTATTTATTTTTTGCACAGTATTTCAACCCAGTGTCAAAAAATAATGGGTAATAGTAATACTGTCAAAAAATAATCTGTATAAAACTATGTTTTTAACAATTTCATGACCCTCTTCAGTCTCATTAAGTGGAAGACCGAAATGAAACAGTATAATCTCAAATCTTATTGCTATTCTACATTATTTTTTAAACTTTTAAGTCATCACTTGTTTTGAATTGTTCAAAATTATTAAATGTTGGGGGAATATTGAGTAAATGCGTCCCTTCACAAGCGATTAGACCAACAGCAATACTTAGCCTCAATACTTAAGGCCTGTTCTGTAAATATTTTAGACAAATTTTCCTCGGAATAACTTATTAAAAATTCAAAACGCATATATCTACTTTAATCTCTATTGATCTAACTTCTATCACCCTACATACAAAAAAAATATACAAACGTACACATTTATCTACATATTTAGTGATAAGAGATTTATCATTTTTTATCTCAACGGTATTAAAAAAATTANAAATAATAATAATTCATAAGAAGCCTCTAAAAATGACGATCCATGACATACACAGATTCTGTCACATTTAAGAAACAGATGGTGGTAACACCGGAGGAGCCAAGTTATTTTTGGCCATGGGATTTATTCGAACTTCCGTAGAAAAAGGATTAGGTATGAACGTGACTGGAACAAAACGGTCAGAAGAATATTACAATTAAAATCCCTAAAAAAAGGCAATCCAAATTGTCTATTTTGATTCATTTCTATATTTCTTACTTCTGAAATTGATTTAATGCAAACGTTTTTTGAAATGTGATTTCTTTAAAGGATAATCTGAGAACCGATAGTCAAGTTATTCAAATAAGCAAATATGTACTTACATAATAATATGAACATTATTACAAACAGTAAAATATTTGCTAAAGAATTTTATTATCGTCGAGTGAAAGTAACTCAAAACGACCTTTCAGGTAAATATAAAATCAAACAAACGCCACAAGCAATTAGTCCACATAATTAGTAATTAAGACATGTTAAGTCAATTAGGAATAAACAACTAGAAAATGCAATTATTACGAATTGTAACCCAAATTTTTTAAAAATAATTATAAATACGTGTCTCTTTTGATATACACATGTACGAACATAGGTGCGAGTGTGTGTGCTAGGGCTTTCAAGAAAAGCTACAAACAACTTGCACATGTGTCTAAAGGAATTAATTACTGCGATGGAAACAACATATGTCTTGATCAGCCGAAAATGGTTGGTTTGTTTGTCGCACTAATTTTTTTCTTTTTTCAACGCACACAAACCCGATAGTGGAAGGAATTTCAGTTCATTTTCGTCAGACGGAAGCACGGAATCGAAACGAAAATAAATTCTTGATTTATTATTGTTCGATTTCCAGTATTTTTGGTCCGCAACACTAGCGTTTGATGTCGATTATACCAATCGAGTAAACACATCTTTTTTTATCTTACATGTTTAAATATGCTCATACATACGCACACGAAAAAAATACGCACCAATTTTAATTGATTATAGCGATGATAATTAATAGGCGTTTAAACAAAGCAGAACTGAAACAGAAACGGTGCCTATTGCTTTAAAATGGGTCAACATACTAAATAAGATCATTTTCACAGTATCCTCTATCTAGTGTTTACGAAACAACATCCTCAACAACTGTATTCGTTATTATTTTGTTGTCTTCTTTCCTAATTATGCATCATGGTATCCGATACCTTATCTTTATCTTATCAAGATCGCCTAGATATTGGTGTAGTGTGTAATTTCTCTTACACCAGAAATCTGAACTATATGTATAATACACGAGTTTCCCAGTTCTCAATCAGGGAAAAAAGATCTCGAAAATACCCCTGCGACGTGTCGCTTTGGCTCTTATCACTCGGCAATCCGTTTCCGCCTCGATCGCATCACCAACCCTGTTGTGTCTGTCTGAAGTTTAATTTAATTGCAAAGTTTCGACGACGCTCGTCGTCACACCGATATCTGTTTCTGTACCAAACGTATGTAGTAGTAGTAGGTAGTATGTAGTTGATGGTTGATCATCAAGACAAGACTACGATCATCAAGGAGGAACACGTTAATGGATCACGTGTTTGCCAGGCAGCAATTTAGTACTCAAAAACCGAGTGAAATAATGTACCGTCAAAAAGATCGGGAAGTTACAGTTGAAAGATCGAAATTATCTTCATCCCTTTACATCTGCGTTGAAAATGCATGAAAATTAAAAAACACAAAGGACGATTATAAGTATGTACACTGACGACGCACCAATACCGATTACACAAATGGGTTTTGTCAGTCTACATATTGTTGAAAAACTAAAATAATATTCGTTACTCAAGATTCCGAAATTCCATTTTTTTTTGTGGGCCTCCCTACAAGACCTATTTATACATCTACGTAAGTACAATTCATCAGGTAGAAAAAGAAGCACAGTTTTTAAAGATTCCTTTGGCTGTCTTTCAACTTGTTGTCCCACGGCGCGTTTAACAGCCCACTTTCTAATTCTAATTCCCGGTAAAAGGGTCTGGTCCACTTGTTTTCGGAAACGTATAATACCGGCACTCGAAGAGGGTAAAGTTTGCGATGAGGGTGGCAGGCAGACGTACAGTGTAATAATGCCTGCTTCTGATGAAATGGGAGAGCGAAGGGTACACAATAATATGCAATAAATAATGCACCAAACAAAAGAGAGAAAAAAAGAAGGTTGGGCGTATTTTGTACACCCCATCACGGATAGATTTTCGAGAATGATACCGTCTTCATTAAAAGGAGAAGAAATAAGCAGATGGTTTTAAACGGAATTTGTCAAAAAACCACAGATATCTTCAAATTACCTCAGAATTTTCCACTATGAATTCTGGGCTTTAACTATTTACAATTCATTATCATCATTATAAGGTCGTCAATCATAAGACTGATTGGATACGTACCCCCACTTTTTACTATCTGTGAACAATAATCTAATCTAAGTCTTCCTCTACTCCTCTTAACTCTTGTTTCTGCCTCTAATATCTCTCTGACTAGACCTTCATGCATGAGGTGTCCTACCAACCTATCTCGCCTATTACTTATTGACTTCAATAGAGTCCTCTGTTCTCCTATTTTTTCTAATCTTCTCTATCCACCAATTCCTCATCATTTGCCTGTAACACCACATTTCGAAATCCAAAATGACACGTTTTACTTATCAACAATGACTTGTTATTAATTAAATGATACTCGTATTCTAAAGCATTCTAAATTAATCTTCTTTCTTTTTCTATTATCCTTTCTAATAAGAAACTTCTCAATCTTCTGCTGTATGCATTCTAAGCGATTTAACAAGAGGCGTTTTTCTCACCACCAAGACAGAACCGGCAGGAGCATTGCAACAACCCCGATGGTGTTCGGGTAGGTGCCCATCAGATCCGGGGGCCCGACTGGTCCGATGCCTTATTCAACAACAAGCGGGCCGCATTCCTAAGGTCATTGTCCAACAATAACATGACTCGGCAGATCGGCCGACGCTGCTTTAAGGTCAGGTGGCTCCAACGAGTATAGTGAAGAGAGATGGTGGTGGGTACAAGTGGCGCATAACTTTACGTTAGCCCTGGGCCCGGTCGTGGAGACTTCACTTTTTTTTCTCAGACGCACCCAACCAACAAGACTCTTTAAAATTTTGAACGGTCTCCAGGCATATAACGTTATTAATACAATACTAACTACTTGAAATAGTAGCTTGGAAAATGAAAAGACTTTCAAATAAAAAGAATCAACCAAATGCAAGGTCGATTAATTTACAGAAAACTACAGGACTTGAGATTTCCGTTAAAATAAAATTTTGAGAGAAATTACTGAAGTTTTATTGTATTCCAGAAATAACACTTTCAATATTGCCCCCAGTTGGGAAAAAATTCATGGTGCAAGGCAGTCCTTTGCGGTCGAACTAAACATTTGTTATCTATTCCAATATCGTATCATCAAAATTTCGAAACCATATTCTCTATTTTTGAGAAACGATGTCATCTTTGCAAAACCAATAAACTATTACTAACGAATTCGTTTTATTTCATCTTGGCCCCTTTGCCTTAACTGATTTATGTTACACTTTCAGATGATTTAAGAATGTCTATAACACATACGGAGCCGATTCCTTTGTTAAAAGATTTACTAATATACTTTTTTGAACCACCACCTACTACAATAATTTACGATTCGCCGTTTATCCACTCGCTAGTTTAATATTTCGCGGTGTCTCATGTTTAGTCAACACCTGTGTGAAAATGAACGCGGCGTCTTCTAAACATACACTGTATTAAAACGGTACAAAAGAATTTTTAAATTATGACAGTTTCTCTCTTCAAACGCTTTTTTTAACGATCTAAACTAATAGTCCAGACGCTTCTAATCTTTCTCATCAAAGCAATCCAAGATCGTTAAATTTCTTGGAAAGCAAATGGTAAACAGACAGATACGCGAATGAGAAGTCGATTTAGAAATTAATGAAAAGGGGTAAGTGAGGCAACGACGGGGTAATTACATAAATGCAAAGTAATTGAGAGTAGGGCTTAAGTAATATGGGCGGTTCGTGCTAGATGCACAGAGCAATGATTTTAATCTATTCTCGCAGACAATTTATAAGAAGATCAACAGCCGCTCGCTCGTTCTCCCAACTTATTTCGAAACGCCAAAGATCTGATAACACCATCAAAAACACAAAACACGTCCAATCTAATGTCCCACACATATGTCCTAACGTTCCGGCTTATAATGGCCATCATAATCCATCAAACCATTTTCGTAAACTTATTATTAATAACCCGCGGGGACCATTTTTCAAAAAAAAATACGGTCTGCCCTTCTTTCTCCCCGCACCTCGACTACTAATGGGACATATACTGGGCAGTCAGCAGCTGCCATTATTATTCATTGCATCGAATTTTACCAACGACCGTATCGTATTCCATAAATAGACTAATGGGCCAGCAAAACCATTATGCATACGACAAGCGGCATCCTGAACTCATTTACACTTCCCAAAAACTTTATGACTATCACTTGTTTAATATCCGGATGTATCCATCATGTATTTGTAGTATCCCTGTTTTCCAATCGATTTTGAGTAGTTTTCTTCTCGACTCACACGTTAAAGATGATGAACTACACACTGCACGCTACTTTAAATTAATGAGGGAAAATTGTTGCTGTTGTCACACCCCCGCCGGGAATCGAACCCGGGAGTAATTTGAGGTAGCGTGTAGTGGGTAAAAAATTCAGAAATTAAATTTTCAGTATAATATTTCGTATTAAACTAACTCACTTCTAAAAGATGTCTAAATTGTATGTATGTTTAATCATAGTATATTCAGTATATAGTTACATCAGTTCGGCGGATCGTTAACCTTGTAGGTCGGTTGGTCGTTGTTGCTGTTGTCACCTCTCGTAGTTTAGTGGTCAGAACATTGGTGCGTAAAGGCAAAGGTCCCGGGTTCGATTCCCGACGGGGGTGGGACAACAGCAACAATTTTTCCCTCATTAATTTGAGGTTCAGAAATTGAATTTTCAGTATAATATTTCAAGAAAAAGTAATCTTACAAAAACAACCCACATAAGAAATGAGATTCCACATTGAAATTATTCTTCATTGGAGGGAGAAGACTACGATGTTATATTTTAAATATTCTTTGTGGTTGGTTTATTTATTATAAAACCCATATAAAACGGTACTCAAGCAAGAGAGAACGACTAACCTCAGTCAAAAAATCGTATTATAATTCCGTACACACCTGAACTATGTCGTGTCGAGCCTTATGTAGTAAAACTATTCTCGTTAGTTTTGGGAGGAAAAAAAAAGTATTACTCGCGAATATGAATTCAGTTGAGAAAAAAGAGACATTAGACTACGTTAACATAAAAAAGTCAATGACAATATACATGTTACGATTCAGCCCATTATTTATGTACATATAAATAAGATAAGCCGTGTTTCTTGTCCGTGGATTCGGTGATACAATAAATATAAACGCGGAGAGACTCGAGCTAAAATATCTATCTATCTATCTACATTAAACATTATAAATAAAAAAAAAAGAACACAGTTCGTTACTACATCCAATAATAATAACAATAATCATGGTGATGTGAATCCTTCCAGCGGCAGATTAAACGTACACAAAATAACCGATAAGTGTCGTATAATAAATACCAAACTAGCAGAACAGTTATATTTTCCGTTAATTTCTAAAGTGCAGTAAAATTTGTCGCTAATTTGTTACCCAATCGAAAAATTTATCAGTCCAACCGGTTGCTGGAAAACTGACGAAATGACGTAGAGAAGTAGCGTCAGGGTTACGCTTTGTCCTTGGTCTAAAGCTGCAAGCTGGTATTACACACAAAAACGGCGTAGAAAAATACTTTAAGGGCTACAAATATGTTGCTGAATGACTGTATTTTTACCCATTTTGTCGCGAGTACATTCTCGAACTGACCAGCGAAAAACAATTGAAGAGCCGTCAAACTGGCACTACATGTAGCGTATCTTGAAGTACAAACATCCTAGAAAAATACTATAAGCCGTAAGGACTAGTATTTTTCTACGATATTTCTATTTTGAATTAATTGCTTAGCCGTATTCATAAAATGTCAAATTTTACAGATTGCCTTCGACATATTGTACTTACATACGTATACGTACAGACATGTGTACATATATTATATGCATGTTGTTCTTTATTCATGTGTAATACGGTTGTCACCTTGAATTTTAAAAAACATAACACGCCTTTATCTGTCGATTGATGTCTACTATACGCTTTTATAATAAAACGTCACGCTGTATTTTACAATACAGTTCAACAATGGAGCTGTTAAGACAACTTAACGCGGTTCCCACAAAATATGACGAGAGGAGAAATATAAAACTTATAATAATTAAAAAAGAGTGTGCGAATATATAACGAAGATTTGATTTACCAGCACAGGTCAAGCAGCTTTTGGCTAAAATAAAAAAAAAATACGATACGAACAATTGAATGTACCGACAAGTCGGCTTGTGGTAAATTCTGACCTGTATAGATGTTGCTGCTCCATTGGCGTAACTATATGGTGACATGAGGTATCCCATGTTGAAGGAAGATGTGTGTGGTGTTGGCTCGATTTTTCCTGCAAATAAAAATTTACATTTTAATCCACAAGCTATATTACACAAACGTCGAAGCAACCCCTTTGGTATTTAAAAATGGACCAAGGTATTAACAAAATAGATGAACAATTCTATAAAGATGTTCACTATTGACCCCGAGCACCGAAAAAACCCGATGCATTTTTCAGAAATGATAAGAAAAGAATATCAAAACATTTAACGTTGCTACATTTACATACTATTTGACTTGGCGAATGATAAGATTGTTTTAGATATGAAGGACTAGTTAGAAACATGGTTGAAGAAAAAAACAGGGCAGATTACAAACAGTTCAGAATGTGGAATGCTCTGGATTCAGGGAAATGCGAAGATTGTCTCAGGAATGAGTGGAAATGACTTGTCCAACTAGTCTTTTTATGCTAACAAACCTGTAATGATGATGATGATGATGATGATGATAATGATCAGGTTGTCCCTTAACCCAAAACATTCAGAATTCCTGGTGCTTTTAAGTTGTGCTCAAACTTAGAATGGTGTTTGTAGATTTTGAGCACTTTTCTGAACAACGAAGTTAACTATTGCATAAAGCATAAAAGCTGTAGCAGGAAATCATAATAAAATGAATAGTATGACTGAAAAACATTCTTCGACCCTTAAATCCTACCCGGCTTTCCAGTAATTCACTGTTCTGATGATGATTTTCCTCTTAAATTTTTATTGATCCTTTTTTCCATTTCAAATTCCTTTATTGATTTCATCACTAGGAGCACATCCCTTTCCAACTACATTATTTTTAAACGTTTCAAACAAAAGTCTTTGTAAATATACTTACCGATTTTCATCATTTTTCAAATCGGTCATATTTTCGTGGCATTTTCCTTTGCAATTGATTACCTTTGATTTATTTTTTGGATTATGTTATTTTAATTGCTTGTAGTTTCCACTTTTCTTTTAGAATCGTTTCGTATCTAAAAGAACCAACCTTACTTAAGATTAATATGCTGAAAGATAGGGCGAATTTATGCCCTTTTGTTATCCATAATTATCCTGATGTGTGAAATGAGACGCTCTTCACAAAGGCCGTCCCAGGCGTTATTATAATAATTTAACAATTATAACAGCAAGAAGAGGGAAGAGAAGTTTTTTAGCTCTCAAGTACTTAATAGTAATCGTCTCATTTGAATGCGTCGTCCAGGGCGTCGTGAGCGTCGTTCAAGGCTCGGAATATGCAAATCGAGCCACTTGACCACTTTCCTTCATTCTCTCCCTCTGTCTTTTTCATCATCAAATCCCATTATTTTTTTGTGCCAACGTTAAAACAGTTGGCCATTCTTATTTATTTTTTGCACAGTATTTCAACCCAGTGTCAAAAAATAATGGGTAATAGTAATACTGTCAAAAAATAATCTGTATAAAACTATGTTTTTAACAATTTCATGACCCTCTTCAGTCTCATTAAGTGGAAGACCGAAATGAAACAGTATAATCTCAAATCTTATTGCTATTCTACATTATTTTTTAAACTTTTAAGTCATCACTTGTTTTGAATTGTTCAAAATTATTAAATGTTGGGGGAATATTGAGTAAATGCGTCCCTTCACAAGCGATTAGACCAACAGCAATACTTAGCCTCAATACTTAAGGCCTGTTCTGTAAATATTTTAGACAAATTTTCCTCGGAATAACTTATTAAAAATTCAAAACGCATATATCTACTTTAATCTCTATTGATCTAACTTCTATCACCCTACATACAAAAAAAATATACAAACGTACACATTTATCTACATATTTAGTGATAAGAGATTTATCATTTTTTATCTCAACGGTATTAAAAAAATTAATTCAAAGCCTTTATTAACGTGATCGAAAAGTTAATTTATAAACCACAAACAGGCAGTCATTTCAAAAAATGCGATCGAGGAAAATGCAAATGGTTTTTTGATTAGATGTTCATAATATGATAATAATGGTGCTCACGAAGAACTGCATTAAAATTAATCTCTGTTATTATAAGTGTAATAATACACGACACAAACGTACGGTATAATAAGTAATACAATTATAATTAGATGTAAATTCTTTACAGCGGTCTTAATTGTGGATGGCCGCCAATTAACGACGTAGAAAATTAATTCATGTTGGGTGCCTCATTAAAGAGAAAATTACAAATTAAAATTTTACGTAGACTGCTGGTAATAATGCTACTAGTTTATCTTAAGAAAGACAAATTTATTTACCAGGACAACACTTCCTATTTGATCTAAAAGATTATAAATCAACTTGGAAAATAAAATACTATTTTCGCCAAAACGTGCTTCTTATTTTCAACTCCAAATATGCAAAATTTTAACTGTATTCCAAATTATTATTCATTAATTTTCTGTACCATTTCGGTTGATTCCATAATAGTTAATAAAAATTAAAGCAATTATAACTGAAGAGGGTCAATGTAAAAGGGGGTTTGGTGGAATCAGTAAAAATAGTACCTATTTTACACGTCAAAGAAAGAAAGTACAAAATTTCCCCCCGGATGTGATTTACTGTCCGAGCCAAAGGCGAGGACTGCAATCAACCTTTGAACACATCCTCCACGTCTTTATTTCTGTTTCTTCTTCTAGGACGTCTCTTACTAACTTTTAATGCAGGGGATTTGACGTATTTCTTATAGACTTGCACAGTGTTCTCTGTTCTTCTATTCTTTCTAATACCTCCTCAATTCTAACCTTTTCTATCCACAGCAGTTTTAACATCCTCTTACAACGCCACATCTCAAAAGGGCGGTTTTCTTTTGTTATATTTGGTTTTCGTTTTATCATGATAGGTACATAATATAAATAATGACGATTAATCAATTATCATTGTAGATTAACCTTTACAAGCGCGAAAGAATGATTTGGACGCCACGCGGTAAATCAATCGCTAAATTCGGCTGGAGAAATACCGTAAAGGAAGACGATGGTCGTGATCACACCGTCTTATTACCGTGATCTCGCGCGGGGGCTGATGATTAACAAGAAGGAAAAGCAGTCGGACGACTTCGCTTTCAGAAGAGAGTTAGTTCTTCTGCCTCTTCTTGTTTTGCTGTTATGCTGCTTTCGGTCTGGGACCGATGCGATGGTACGAACGGTGTATGGTGAGCACTAAAAAGGCCCCGAAGGGTTTGTGGCGGGTCGCGGAGGGGGTGAATGGGTCGCTAATACGGGCGTCCTTCGACAAAAACGAGAGAGATCGTACGGACGAGGCATTACGAAAAACACACATAAGGATTTGGAAGGATTTATGGTGGTACCTTGGCCGATATCAAGTTAGCAAGACAGTTATGTTTCTTATTTCAAAAATGCACTGCAGTTTTCTTTGCTAATTCGTTGCCAAATCCAAAAATTTGTCGCTCCAGCCGGTTCTGTATATTTTGAGAACTTATATTATTTATGCTGTTGCCTATTTCTTGTGAAGAGATTGAGTTTACGCTATCGTTATTAAAATTAATTTTAGAGTACACGGTTATCTGTTTGCGAGTTTGTATCACCTTCTGTCTATCGAAACATGTTTTCTGAGGATTGCTATCCTTGGCTTGTTTGGTTTTGAGATAAGGTTGTCTAGAAATTTCAATTTGCTAAAGCATTTCCGGGACCGAATTCGAATACGCTGAAAATTATTGCCTTCTTATTTGATTAAAGGACACGCTGGAATCTTAATTCTTAATCTTAAAATCAAAATAGCCACATTAGCATCATTCTTCATTTGGATCATAAGATTAAAACAGGTAGATACATATTTCAAATTTTTGGTCTGCTAGGGCAATTTCGAGGCTAGCCTTTGATTCAGCGTCCCTTTCTTTTACTACACGTTTTCAAAAATAAAATGAGTTCCGAAGTTAGAAAACCTTAACGTCCCTACGTTGCAAACTACTACCTTTCTGCAATTTTCCGTTTGTTCGCTTGTAATAATAATTAATTATCATAATACATTATTAGGGTTGAATCTCCCTGGCTCATATTCATGAGTAATCCGCCCCACAACAACTAATTATGAACGAAGCTGTGTAGTTAAAGGTAAAGAAGACAACTAGGTATTTTACAAGCACCATGTGAGTCTACGTAATACGTAGAAAGAAAGAGAGAGTGTTCGTGGTTTAGTAGAAGAGGCTTCTAGCATTACAAAAGCACATTTCGCGGGTCAACGATTTCGGACCGTTTTTGCCCTTCGAACGGCGCGAGTTCGCGTAATAATAACGCGTACTATGTAGCTTGCTTGACCTTGGCTGCTATGCGATTAAAAAGCTTTATCGCAGTCATAAGCGAGCAATCGGTCGCGCCAACGGCCGTTTCGACTTTTGTTTCGTCTGGAACATTATACATTATTAATTTGGTCGTATACTGTAAAATTGCTGAGAGACTGCTTTTACGTCATCGACATAGTCTGTACGAACCAAGTAATCGCAACAGCATATTCAGCCCAATCCTCCTGTAAAATGGAAAATACTCGAACAATCTTCATTTGAAGATGCTAATGTTTTGGCGAAACAATCGCAATGATTGTAACCAATTATTTCTTGAAACTATTACTGCATTAGTCATCGACATACGGCATGTCTTGTCTTTTATACTGTCTTCTATTACAGCAAACAAATAAATGTCGATCCTCACAATACATTCCGTATCAATTCCACATCAACACCGTACACTTTCGGTACATTGACAAGTTGGCCCTAAAGATACATTCAAACGAAACGTATTTTAGACGTTAAGTAGAAGTGACGGAAAAGCCAGGGCTGGTGTGAATAGAAAAATGTTCGATATCAGTTCATTTCTGCTATATTACATTTACGAAATCCAGTCCAATTCCAGTCCAAAAATGGTTACGATAACTACCATTCTTGTTAATACATTGATGATGATTTGTCAACTTGGTGGACCTAATGTTGTTCTTCCTGTTATAATTACTCTCACCAACGGTTTAGTATTTGTAACAAGTATCGGTTTATTTTAATGGATTTAACCGTCTCGCCGAAAATCCGTTGGTAAAAAGTTACAGATTGATTGATTTTTTGGCTTAACGATTGGTTTGGTGAAGACCGTATTTAAAGCCCGTCAGATCAGCAACTATAGCCACAAGATTATACATATAATCGTCATAACACCAGGTGTAATAAATCGATTAATTCATTCGTCAATATTTTCTTTCTTTCCATATATTGCGAATCCATAGACGTCCTCGCCGTTTCCACACTAATGGCGGCAATCATTAAATTCTCCTCGGACCACATATGTATATTTGCGATCAGTTTCACATCACCTGCTTCTACAGTCTATTAGTACGGAGAGGAAACGTAACATTCAAGTGTGAATATTATCAATTTACATAGTTCTAGTTGTTAGACAACGACAGGGAAAAATTCAGTTGCCGAACAGCGACAGCATTAACAACAATTTGGACGCTGGCCAAATAAGTTACGAAAGAACAGGAAGTAGTTGTGATAGATAGCGATTTGTTACGCAAATTACGTTTTTCTGTAAAGTGCCACATTAACACAACTTTGTCACTACACACATACATATACGTGATGGTTTTTCATTTATAGATATGTACAGGGCGTTGGTAGAAGAGATGCACACAGGTAGAACACAAAATTTGTGCATTATCTTCTGGCGAAACAGAATGCACGGGCACTGTCGTCCTGCAGAACTGATATCTTTCAACATTCACACATCGCCACAAGTAAATCCTTTAAATTGTCCAAATCTACCTGCTTTGAGGTCATTCCCAAAATTGCTGGCCAAAAAAACAGAATACGATCGCAACAAGCTCGCTGTCAACAATTCGCTTTTATTGTAAATGAGACAAAAAAGTAAGTTGGTTTATAACCAATTGCATATAGCATATATTAGACTTGGAACTCAATGTGTGGTAGCAAAAAAATGTACACGTGGATTCAGATTATTCTCACGCCATGTCCACCCGCAATCGCACTTGTTACGTCGGCAAACAAAAGAAGGAAGAGGGGTGGTAGGGGGTAGTAGTAGACCCGACCTGACGGCGGCGGCGTCAGCGGACGGGCCGAGGCGAGCAAGAGCGGAAGGGGGTTCGAAACAGGTGCCCGGGGTCCTTTCGTACAGGGGAAGGACGCGCGAGGTAGAGGAAGAAGAATCGCAGCAGCGAAATCTAGGGGGGTAAAGAGGGGGAAAGAACAAGCAAGAGACCTGTTCATTCATAACACATTAACTGGGACCGTCACAAGTAAATAACAGTTGAAAATTTGATATAGGAAAGGACAAATTGGTGTGTTTTTAATTAGAAATATTAAATGGAAAGAGCTTTCAGCTAAAAAATAAGACAGCGGACGATGCAGTGGTTCTTCCTGACTTTCTGAAGAACAAAATTCTAAACGCAATTCCTTACCGCCATGGGTCCTGTCTGGCAGAGTCCTTTGAAATAAAGAAAGCCACCACTTTACTATAAGAAGTAGGTTGTTCTATAAGAATTAACTGTGGCGTGTACATTTATTTGCATTAGCTCTGTTAATTAATTTGTGCTATAAGATAAATCCCTTGGGTGTTCATGGATTAAATAGATTAGAAAGCTTAGTAATCCGTGGTGCCAATGCCAGCAGATGCATAACAGGTAGAGTTGGTGTAGAATCTCGTGAGCCCCGATCCAGGGTTGCACAACCTCCTTTTGACCGTCATGCTTTACATGATTAACGGTCGAGTCAGTAAGAAGATTACGCTCCTGGGGTATTTCGCGATCCAGGACAGTTTTTAAATACGTTCACCTAATAAAAAGCCAGTTAGGCAGTTGTTGTTTGGTCAAGTTGACAACCACGCACCAACAAGTGGCGACTGACCGCCGGTCCCAAATGGTGTCCACCACGCTCGTTACCCACCGCCAATCTTTAACTGCTGATTTAACCTCGATGACGGAGCCCTGCCTGCCGCGTATATAATTTAAATCATGCTTAATGGGTAACCGGGGCGGCTCATTATGAGAGAAACCCGACGAAAATCGTACCGCGGAGAACCAGCTCGTTTATTTTTGTACGCGTGTGTGTGTCTGTGTGAACACATATATACATATTACACACATATATATATATGCGTGTATGCATATTACATACATGGACGTATATAAGGTAAATAAGTTTGTTTTTCGAACAGGAATTCGCGCCAAACTAATTTGAGAGACTGATGAAATAAGGAAGGACCCACACCATACCATTTAGGTAGGCGATTGATCGTCTTCTTCAATTAGAATCCAATAAAAGATGGTACGTGGTACCAATAATAACGATGAAGCAAATGTTTTTTTTTCTGTTGTATATTAGATTTTCATACAAAAAAAAACGATGGAAATTTCGAAATAAAATAGGCGGCCTCAAAACAAATTGACAAACCAAACAAAAAACCAATCTTACCAAACACGGGGCTGTGATCCGACTTTGACACATTTTTTGTTGCAGAGTAATTACCTCCAGACTTTTCCTGAAACAAAAGAAACAACACAGTTAGATCAACTGCTGTACCATTAAACAAAAACAACAAAGATTACAACAAAAAAAAAGACGAACAGGCGAACACTAATATCATCATCATCATAAGATCGTCAGTCCGAAGACTGGTTTTAATCACGCACCTCCACTTCTTCCTATCCTGAGCCAACCTTCGCATTTCCCGAAAACTAGAACATCCCACCGAAAACCTCAACTGTTTGTGAATATTAATAGTCTACGTGTTTTTTTATCCTTCTACTCCTGTTCCTGCTTCTAGTATGCCTTTATCAAAAGCAATTAGTTTACATGTTTTTCACCACCGACATTTTCATAGCAATCCGTATCCTTATTAATAATTCGCGTGTGCCGCAGAAGAAAGAGAGAAAGCGCGAAAGAAAAAAAAACAAAAACACACGCAAAAAGAAAAAACGCATTCACAGACTGTGACACATATTTGGTTCGACGCCAGGAAAGTATAAAGCCGTACACTTATTTATTATTTATCTATGGCACATGCTGGGTCCCTGCCAAGCCCGTTTTTCGCTTATAGGAAACGAACGAACATCGCATTGGGTTCCAACATGCTCACGTGCTCCTCTGTTATGCTGACGATGATACTAAAAAGGAAGGAAAATCCTTAAAGGAGGAAAATATTAACCAAAGCTCGAATCTCCCACTAATACACAAAATAAAATTACCACATCCTGAGCGTTTGCCAATGAGATTAGAAGGTTACTCATATAAATTTATATATCTCTGAGAGACTGCTTTTACGTCATCGACATAGTCTGTACGAACCAAGTAATCGCAACAGCATATTCAGNTTGAAGAAATCTGCGCGAAGATAGAAAGAATACACACTAGGCGTGAGCAAGACAGAAATAGTTGGAACAAGCTTGAACGAGCAGAGCTCTCGATGGGCGGTCTTAGAAGATCGGCCAGAACTGTACAGTACTAGACGAAAATGTTTAGCAATTTTTTTTAACAAAAATGTATATAAATTAACAATAGAAAACAAAGCAGGAATTTTATTGGTGCGTAGAACGTTAAGTTAATCCACTTGTTATTATTTTTGGCTAAATATGCTTTAAAATAAAGCATATTCTTAAATTTTAACGAGGCCGTTTAAAAATTTTTGCAAACGGTACTGTACACTTTTGTCTAGTTCTCGCTCGATGATCGGTGGAGAAGTGAGCTCCGCGGACAAGGGACAAATATGATTGAATTTGGAATTATGCTACGGCGCATCCTAATAAACGGAAGGGGCATATCCCTAACTTCTTGAAACGAACAGTATCTGTGCGTATGTTTGTTTAACACAAATAGGCAGGAAATTGGCTGAACCTCAGTGCACAAAAAATGTGACTTCGAGCGCCTGTTCTAACTCATGACATTAACTGCTATTAAATTGTTAGCAAGTTCTAATGATAAAAGGTTTATTGTCCGAATATAATTCTCATCGGACGCATTTTAATAATGATGGATTAACTTTACTCATCGAAATCTACGTAAATGGTACTAAATTCAATGACAAATTGGCAATAAATAATAACCCACAGAGTATGTCTGTACAGTGTCACCTCGGCGGTTCTCCAATCGTTTTTCGTTGGACATTGGGAGAACGCTTGGGATAAAAATGCGCTATGCGAAGTGCCACCTTAATATTACGCAAAGCATTTTCTAGTAACCCGGTGAAGTGACAAATTGTAGTAGATATACGTTAGAAATAAGGAATATACCAAAACTTGTGAACTTATCGTTTCTCGCTATACCTATATCGAATTTTCAGGCTGAATTTTTTAATTATTTAGTTTTAATTTCCACTGTCCACATTCTTTTTACACCCTTATAAAAAGTTCATTCTCGTTCATCTTTCGCAAGAGCCCTCGCATCCTAACCCAGCTAATTATTCGGGAAGTGCACTTCGTACAGAAGATGGGTTGATTTCGGAGTCTTTATACGACTAGCACACGACAAAATATTTTTATGCCTGCCTGCCTGCATGCATGTATACGAAATGGGCGAAAAAGCGCTCCGCATTTTTAGAAAAGCTCTCTAACAAGGCCCCATCCACTACTGCTGTCCGTACGGGAGCAGCAACTAAGTAGTTTGCATACATTTTCCTTTGATCTTGCCGCCAGTTCACTGACTGTAATAAAGGTAGGTACGTACGTCTTTATTTTCGACGGCTTCTAACTTTTACTATTACTATACTCTATACTACAGCCCACATTAGCTCGCTATTTTTAAATAAACGGTAATAATAATAAAAAGACAACATGCGCACCTGTTAAATCTATGACAACGATAACGATGGCCTGAATAAACACATGTACCTACACAGACTTAATAATAATTAATTGAAAGGTTTTATCACTGGTCACCGCATGCTGGATACTATTCGTAGATAGGCAGGCACATATTACGTACGCACGTGTATGATCGTAAGTGAATGTAAACGATAATAAAAGCACCTAATCAAAAGTGCCTTTAACGTTAATAAATTTAACAACGACTAACGATCAATTATTACAAGAATCAAACTACTTGAACCTGTCCGAATTTGGACGGATGGCCGCCGTTATGGATTTTCGCACATTACTTTCATTTAGACCTTTACGAGATTCCACGGGAGAACTTTTAGTCATAGCACAACAGCAGACATCAGAATGGTTTCAGTCCATTAATTAGACGTTTGATTCGTCAGTTAATTGCAGAAAGTCATACCATCAGAGGAGATAGCCGTTCATATGCTCGCAAACTACAATTTAGGGGTAGTCGGTACCTATTTCGGTGGGACTTTACACACTTGAACTTTTCATAAAGAGGTGGTCGGCGAGCCGACGCCGATCCGTGTGCAAAACGTTGCCGGTTCGAGAAGGGATTGGCTCTTCAACAAAAGGTGTTATGACAAATTGGTAAAGGCTCTTTCGCGACCAGCAGGTGAACTATTGTTGTTCTGATTGGGGTCTAAAGACTGTCGTGTCTAGGGGTTGCTTCCCAACGTTTCGCTAGCACGAAAGAGGTCCTTCCGTCTCCGATGCTGGATGTGGACAGGAAGGACCAGAGGCGCATTAAATGTCGAGAGCGCTCTAGGCTAGCATCTCAGACGCCCTTCTGGCGGTCATATATTTTGCAAAATAATTTCAATTTGTTAGAATTGTGACCTTGAAGAAATCTGCGCGAAGATAGAAAGAATACACACTAGGCGTGAGCAAGACAGAAATAGTTGGAACAAGCTTGAACGAGCAGAGATCTCGATGGCGGTCTTAGGAGATCGGCTAGAACTGTACAGTACTAGACGAAAATGTTTAGCAATTTCTTAAAACAAAAATGTATATAAATTAACAATAGAAAACAAAGCAAAAGTTTTATAGGTGTGTAGAACGTTAAGTTAATTCACTTGTTATTATTTTTGGCTTTTAAATAAAGCATATTCTTAAATTTTAACTAGTTAATTAGTTCTCGCTCGATGATCGGTGGAAAAATGAGCTCCGCAGGCAAATATGATTGAATTTGGAATTATGCTACGGCGCAACCTAATAAAGGGAAGTGGCATATCCCTAACTTCTTGAAACAAACGGTACTTCCTTATTTTTGTTTTTTAATTTTAAAAACTTGCGCGCGCGCCCCTTTCTAATCTTGCACCCCTAGGCATGTGTCTAGTTTGCCTTACGGATAATCCGCTACTGGCGAAGACCTCTGAAGAAGCTCGCCACTCGTACTAGCGAAAAGTTAGAAAGCTACTGCAACACACGACGGCTTTTAGACCCGAATCAAAACAAATAGAAACAAAATATAAGAATAACATGAATATTCGTCCCTAATTTTGAGTAGGGTTATCATCAATTAAACTACAGTTAAAAAACTGACCAAGAATAAGCAAGCCCATTTATCACATTTTTCTGGTTGAACTGTGTACGTTGACGTGAAGTTTCAAAACAAATTCCATGCGTTTCGTTATTGTTTATATTTTAATGAAGTGAAAAAACTTTGAACATTGATAAAATTGTAGCAGCAAGTCTAATATATGAATTAAAAATAATGCTGGTCCATCATAGTTAATATCGTACTTCGAGAAGCGCTGATCCATGCTACTGCTTGTAATTGCTTGTTGGTTATAACAATTGTATTTATTATAAACAATTAGAAATAGTTTCACGCGGACGACAAATAGCTGGTACAAGTTAATTAAAAATAAAATGAGTAACTTTGGTGGTACTGGTGAGAAAAAGAAAGAAAAAAACGTGGAAACATTGTGTGACGATGCATCTTGATAAGATCCCGGGTAGTTCCAACATTTATTCAAATTCGAGTCATGATACTGAAATGATGCAGGTGGAATATTTAAACAGGGACGGGATTCATAACAAATCATACATGCATACATAATCCTATTAGGTATTTTACAAAGACAAAACACGTCATTTTTTCAGAAAATGTTATTGAAATACCATGAAGATGGTAAAATAAAATGGACAAGAACTGAAAAATTGTACAGTTGTCTCAACCTATCAAAATTTATATTTTTAAGATACTAAATAAAAGTTCGGAATTTAAAGGATGTCCGCCAGCGCGATTTGACACTTGTAAACATTGTTTGTATCTAGATCTGTTTTTATAGAAGGAGAATTAAAACGGTATGCAAAAAACTCTTAAAAAGGAAATCTACACAAATATTTAAACAACGACATAATATTATGTACACACGTAAGATTACATTGTGTACAATCATCAATTTTATATGTACGTATTTGTTTGCATGTCTATATTGTGAAGAGTTTATCTGAACAAGCTATAGTCGTTCCAAAGCACTTCCTGTAAATATGTCAAGAAAAAGAGACGAGGGTTATCATTCTGTCGACATTCTTCACTCCGAGTTTTTACACAAAAATCAAAAATTACACACTATTTTCATTCTTATCAACGTTACTGTATGTCTTCGTCTTTTTTTGTGATAAAATTAAACATGCACACAATAACTTCCTGTATTCAGGAATTGACGTTTAAACAACAATTATTTGCATCTGTTAATTAAATGAGGAGGAAGTGTCTTCTGTGATAACCCGACAGAGAATGCTTGGTAAGAAATACAAATCAGAAGCCTAATCATTAAAAGTTGATTCACACATGTCCGTGCCGTATCCGTCGCGTGTACTTCGTATGACGGTTACAGTACGGATATGTCCGAAGCCATCTTAACGAAAATTAAATGACCGCATACTTTTCGACATACGTGTAGTATAACCCCTTAGCTTATTAGTTACGGGATTTTTAATGGTGAATAAATTTGTGACAACCAAGAAAGAGAAAATATGAATGAAAATGAATACGTATTTTTATGATGAAAAATATGACCTTATATTACTAGTTATTTTGTCAGAAAAAAAGCAAATTCATTCAAAAATATCAGTACACGAATTATTTAAAAATACTTCACGACGCAACACTTACAACTACACATACACACGCGAATGAACAAACATACCTAACAAACCTTATCTACACACTGATAAAGGTGCTCTTCATTTGTCGTTTAAAATGTGTGTGAATAAACGAAAAAATTTTTCCAGGTCGAAATTCACATTGGAACAGAATTCAGGGAAACAAAAAAAATTTAAGTAGATACAGATACAGACAATATCTAATGTTAAAATCTACATGTAAGTAACAACTTACTGACAGGTAGGTACTAACGACATTCTTTTTTTTTTTTTGAGATACCTACAAAACGATAATAATAATAATAATCTGTTTTTAGTAAATTGATAATCAGCTAAGGAATTTTATCATTTTAATTTTAAGAAAAATAAACACAACACCTAACGATTATTTTGCATCAAACCATTACACACAAGCACATTTTCGAAATACCAACTCTAACGTCCAAACGACACAAACTACCTATAAATAGACACAATGGAAATTAAAGCCGGACAAAAACTAACAGTCATAAACTGTGCGCAACGAATAAAGGCGGATGCTACCCCTTAATAAATTTTACGACGCCAATAAACCCCATAATAAATAACAGGATCGCTGGACACCTAAAAGACGACAAAAAAGTAATGGAATACCGTAAATGTCATTCTCCATCTGCATACGTGGGTACAGTAAGGGTGGCGTTACACAGAACGGACTATTAAATAAACCACTAAAAAGTTTCAAGAGTATTTTGCGTCGTCTCCTACCTACTTTACCTTTGAAAATGACTAACCACAGTAGAAATGGTTATGCCTCCCTTAAGTTTTATCGCGTTCATGAAGCTAAATCTCAATTAAGAAACTTTATGAGGCATACAATTCGTAAATTAACCCCATAACAAAATTTTGTGTGGCATGCAAACCCTATGCAGAACCTTATTGCAACATTCGCAAATGTTGCATACTAAAATGGCATTAACGAGGCCACAACGCACATAGTGATCCCGGTACCGGTCATTAAACGAACCTGGTTATTGCTAACATTAAACGTGTAGAATTCGAGGATAAAATGCTATAGGTACCCATATCGGGTACCTGTTGGGATACAAAAACGACCTTTTGCACAACCTCCACGGTTAGGTCAGGTCTCTTCACCGAGCGGCATGGCCTAGAGATTTACAACGTTGTTTAGCATTCGGGAGTACGCCGGTTCGATTCCGAATCCGTCTGACTTAGTCCAAGTTATCTGTGGTTTTCTTGGATCACTTCGGCAAATGCTGGGGATCTAATATTCCACAGATAATCTTGCATTCTCTTCTATCTTCATTTCGTACGCTTCACCTTTCTCACCTGAACCACCACCTACCTATCCATTCTCACGATTCCTGAAAGGAGGCTGGAGAGGGCCATCCATCCTACCTTCCGGCGTAGTCCAAAGGGACTGCCCGCCAGCCAGCATTAGTGGCTGGCGGGAATGAAACACCCAAATGTTTTTTTTTCAGGTCTCTTCAATGGTTTGTACCTAAATGATGAAAAAAAACCCTTTTGGGTGTTTCATTCCCACTATCCACTAATGTTGGTAGGAGGGCAATACCTCCGGCTTACGGAAGGTAGGGCAGAAGGCCCTCTTCAGCTTCCTTTCAGGAATCGTGGGAGTGGGGGGGTGGTGGAGGTTCGGATGAGAAAGATGAGATGGACAAAATGAAGACAGAAGAGAATGGAAGATTATCTGTGGAATACTGCTGCCTCAGCGTTTGCCTAAGTGGTCCAGGGAAATCACAGAAAAACTTGGACCAAAGCAGACGGACCCGGAACCGAACCGGAGTCCTCCCAAATGCTAAGCAATGGTCTAAACCTCCAGGTTATGGTCCTAAGTGATGATAACGTACAAATAGAGCTAATGTTTATTGATCAGGGAATATCTTTGGAACTATACGAAAATTTTGGGCGCTAGATTATCACGTGGACACCCATGACGATTTTTTTTATTACCCAGGTACAGGTCAGCAAGAAAACGGTCGGTATACCTATCCTAATTAAAAATGAGTAGTCGAATAATAACTTTTTGGAAAGCTTCGTTTGAAGCCCCATCTAACAAGGTTTTGGTAGGTTAGGTTATAGTAGGTAAAAATCCCCCCCTCCCCCGGAATTCTTTTCTTAATCCCCTTATAAATGAGGCTTCAGATACATTATTGATTACTAAAATGGATCAAAAGGTAGCTTTAGAGAGATCTTGCTTAAGTTCTCCAAAAAGGTATTATTTGACACCCAGAAGAGGTCCCCCTTTTTTTCTTTCAGATGAAGAAGCAATATCGCTCTCGAGTGCTGCGGATGCGATAAGGTGGGAGGTAAACGAAGAATAGACAGGTGCTTCAAGCTTTTAACAAATAACAATACTGGAATAAACGGTGTATGAGTGAGAGTGAAGCAGTGGTTTCGTTTTGTACCTCGGACTCGGTGAGATCGATGAGACTGCTCTTCTCCTCGGTGAGGTTTTCCGAGGAACGTTTCTCGTCCTCGCCGTCGCCCTCGTCCTTAAACACCTTAACCTCATCGGTGCTGCAGAGATCATCGCCGCCGGTCGACGAGACGTGTGGCATGGTTTTACTCCGGACGCGGCGGCATCACACCTCGGGACATGGCACTTACTCGCGCTGACCCGCTTCTCTGTGTCAACTCGTCATCAACATAATCATGCCGGCGGACAACACTCGCGAACACATATTTTCAACAACAAAATTTAAACGAAAAAGAAAAAACAACGACAAACTTTATTTTTATTTATCCGCACCGAACGAATGAGAGACGTCTGTTTGTCACCCACAACAATTCCCGCACAAAAAAATAACAAATAACTACAACATTTGGAGCAGCAGCAGCAACAATAATACCAACACGTGTTTATTTCGTAACTATGTATTTATATTGTAACACCGCGCGATAGAAAACAAGCGGACAGTGTGTGTGTGTATATATGTGTAAGTATATTGTCGGAAAAGGAACGCGTCGCCGCAACGAATGCGACCTTGCCACCGCCAACGATTACACTCTACTGGTCTCCCAGCGCGGGCCAAGCACTCTACGATGCTCTGTTGTCGGCCCGACCAATCACCGCCCGCTTTGATGTGCCGAGGCGGCTCGCAGTAATGGCAGCCGACACGACTGCGCACGAGAGTAAACGAGCGACGCCCGCATCTCGCGCTGCCGCTTCTGAGTTTTGCGTTTACCTTCCTTGTTGCGCCGACCACGAGCGCGTGTCTTCTGTCTTCGCCTCCATTCGGCGTCCTTGTCACTCGCGCTTGTTGTGTTGTATCGCCGCCGCGCGCGCGTTGCTGCCGTTTTGAGTGCAGCTCCTCCGCTGGATGATTTGTTTCATGATTAATTTCACCGCCAGACGTTTATTTGACTAATTTATAGTCTGTGCGACGCGCATTTTTACTCAAACGTCTTGGTTTTGCATTCATTCTATAATAGTGTATTAAATGACATCCAAATTACTCATTTAAATGTAAGCAGCAAATATAAACTTGCACCTCTCCCCTTATTAAAATGTCGTACCAAGTCTATGTAGAGTACGTCAACATCGATCTGTTTCAACAATATTTTTGACTGATTAAGAAGAGATAAAGAGCGATAACCTCGATTTTTAAAAAGTTTCTGAATTTTGTGTACCTACACGAGGTATTCGCACCTACCTAACTGCTATCTACTTGAAAAAGTACATTGGAAAGGATTTTTTAGGTCATGACAGTACATTCAATTTTAACATTATCTTTTAACGAGAAATTTTTTTGTTTGTCAATAAGTTCTCGCAAATTAGAATGCAGAATGTTTAAAACACGTATATGAAACATATGTAGACAGTGATCGCCCGTAATGAAATGAAGCAGGGTATTTTACACACTAAAATGAGCTGCGTTGAATGCAGCTCACGGACATAATGGAGTGTCTGGTAAAATTTTAAAGCCAATGGGAGGGTTCCGGTTTTCGTAACACCAGCCAATACATATCTTTGTTATGTGATATTCCTAATCAACTAATGGTTCTACATTAGTCTGCGTTCTATCTCACTTCGTTCGTGTTGGCTTTTCCTACATTTCAACGTTTACAAATTATGGCACAAATTTGTATTTTATGAGCCAATTTTCCTTAGAAGCCTAATTTTTTGCAGGATTATGAGACATGCAACGATAAAAAAATTACAGGCAATTCTCTCATATCTTGCCCATCACAAGTGGTTAAGGCACTTGTTCTGGTTTAAATAAACAGCATAATACCAACCGGCCCACGTCAATCAATTCAGAGTCAAGAACAGAAGCGATAAAGGACCGTTATCACAAACGTGTCGAGAGAGAGGACTTCTATAACTCAAACATACACAGATACACGAATTACAGTGACTTGGTCGAAATAATACTTCAGTCCTGCTTTGTTTGACCTGTTTTTGGGGCGAGGCACCCCGTGTGCACACGCATAATGCCGTGTAAATGGGGGGGTGGGCCAACTTCTCGGAAGGACTAAGGATGTTAAGTCAGCTTTGGCCTGAACGATTCCCATCCACATTAAACCAGAGGCGTCTCAAAAATACATCGACATCAACAATCTTAGGTGTTAATGGGTTAGATGTTTCAGATATTGGCGATCCAATTACTCTCTTTGTTGACGACGTAATTGTTTCTTCCGTTTGCGACTCAATTGTTTTATTTGTTGGCAACTCAATAGCTTCAATTATTTTATTTGTTGATAGATCAACAACCTCAGGTGTTGACAGATTAGTTGTTTCAGTTATTGGCAACTCAATTGCTTTATTTGTTGACGAACGTGACTGTTCCTTCTGTTTGGTATTCAATTGTTTCATTTGTTAGCGACTCCATTGCTCATTTGTTGTTGACTTAATATATCAATAATATCGGATGATTACGGGTCAGTTGTTTTAATTATTGGCGACTCAATTGCCTTATTATTTTGAAGAATAACTGTTTTTTCTGTTTGTAGATCATCAATTGTTTCATTTGTTGGCAATTCCATTGTTCGTTTTCTAGTGATTCAATAGTTTCAATTGTTTTATTTGTTGATAGATCAACAGTCTTGGGTGTTGACGGGCCAGTTGTTTCAGTTATTGGTGACTCAATTGTTTTAGATGTTGACGACGTATCCGTTTCATTTTTTTGCGGTTCAATTTACATTTGTTAGCGACTCTATTGTTCATTTCTTAGTGATTGATCGGCAATTCCTGGTGTTGACGATTTCGATGCTTATTCAATTCCATTTCAAAAACCGTGCTCTACGCCGCTGATATGCAACATTAAATAATATTACCCGCTTTTGACTTCACTCGGTTTGACGCTAAACAGATTTGTAAAGCGATTTGTGGGCACGGCTATTTCTAGGAGCATTCTTCTTTTACCCAAACACCAGATTAAAATGACTGACAATGAGTTGCCGTACAAATTTGCTGTCATTATCTAAGCCATCGCGTGTTAATGAAAAAAATTGCCTCTTAAGAACAGATAAAAAAGCCAAACGACCAAAAAACGAATATAAATTACTTTTACACGCCGATGTTTGTATAGGTTTGATGTGGCTAAAATTGGACCGAAAAATGAAAAATAAAAAGGAAGAAGAAACTCTGCCTGATTACAAGAAAATAAAATTCTGAAAATATCTTTACACTTCTATTTGATTGTCGTTTGTGAAAACTGTTCAAATGCCAAATTTGATTTAATATATTTGAAAAATATAGGAAAGTGAAGGCGTTTCTGCAGTATTGATCAGGACCGTTCCTGGGGCAAAGCTCGATTTTGGCGCTCACTATCTCCAGAAACCAAAATTGAGCAAAAATCCTTCTAATGCATATTTTTTTTTCAAAATGGGCTAACTGAACTAAAAGGAGGTCGCTGAGTGGTGTTTCAATGGGCATGCTTTTTATCCATTCGAATAATTTTGTGGTTGTGAATAGGAATGTACTTCTACTTTCATGGTGTTTAAAGGACAAGAATGTTAGAATGAAGTAGGTGTCTCAAATTTGAAAAGAACTCCTTTCGATGCCCCTTGACTCTGGCGCTCGGAGAGGTTGCCCCTTGGTATTCGTATCTATGTGTTTGGCTTTATAAACTTTAACTTGATTGTTATTTGGCGAGGACGTTAAATGTAATGCATATGTACGTTAATCACTTTTCAGTAACTTTTTGCCAAAGCAGTTTCGCCGGAATTTCCTTCTTCAGAGTTAATTAACTAATAAATGTAAATATGTGAAAGATAATAATAGATAATATTGTCGTTATTGCTGGTAGGTTATACAGCAATAAAGTGTAAATGTACAAGTTGAAAAAGCGGTAGGTAAGGAGGTCCAAAACCCAGCCAGCGCCAACGTCGATCGTGAGTTTCGAGCTGCTTAGATGACTTAACAAGATACGGCGGGTGGAATTCCAAAAGTTCCTTCTCTCTCTTGTTTCTCGGCTACGTCCCTCTCTTTCTCACCCGTACGTCGTGCTCTCTTGCAAGCTCATTATTTCACCTCGTCTACTTATGGATGTGTACGTATTAAAGTTGTGTGAACGTACGCGAATGTGTGTGTGTGTTTAAGTTTGGAACTCCAACCATTGAAAGCTCGAAGGGGAACAACACTGACGAACTGGCCCGGCCACGGCCAAACGGACCGTTTTCGAGGTTTTCAGTGTCGTAGTTCAAATTTCAACACAAAATAGTGTCATACGTAATAAGGGAAGGATCCTAACGAAGATATAATACGTGCTTACGTCGTTGAATATTTGGTCATCTACACGCGAGAATAGAGTAGGTCCAAATTTGGACAAATGGATACCGTTATCGAAGATGCATAGTACCATGGAATCTATAAAGGTTCAGCTTTGGGTTGAACTTTGGTTCACAACTGGTACTGTCCAGATTCGGGTCTAAAGACAGTTGTCGGTTGGAGTTGCTTTTTAACGTTTTACTAACACTACTGAGCATCGGTCTACATCCAGCATCAAAGATGGAAGAACCTCTGAAGAAAATCGCCACTAGTGCTAGCGAAACGTTAGGAAGGAACTTCAGTCAACAACGGCTTTTAGTCACAGTTCACCAACAAAATTTGAATCATTACGAGAAGGCCCTAGTAAGTAGAAGAGGCTGGACGATATCTAGAACTATTGAATCTATTCTAAAAATTCTCGGACTAATGGTGGCTGCAGTATTTCTGAATAATGACAAAAATTCTAATTCGAAATCTGAATACATGTAAAGCGCTACTTAGTTAAGTGTTAACTAACATCTAAACTAGGGGCGATGACGCGAACTTAGTGTAATATATTTTTGTGTTTTACATTTAAATATGTCTATGAGTCACCTCTGAAAAGGCCACATCCGTAGGGGAGTAGCTTTTGATTTTTCAATAATTCATTCTACTCTCTTATGTCTAACTAGTACACAAACGTACTATTGTTGTTTTGAATTAGTTTTCGGACTCCAAGCTTTCCCTACTGTAACCTTATTTCAGCTAGGACTACTATAGTCCTATCTAATACATACGTATTGGTTATATTGATTAAAAATTCAGACTAAATGATATCACCCTGGATAACCGAAGTTAGTTTCATCCCTTGATAAGGCGTCTTAATAGCCAGCTAATTCCGGAAAGGGCTGTTAACCGAGAAGATATTGAGGGCATCACGCTAGGAACCGTAAAACTTAATTACATTTCGCATCATTTGTAATGTAAATTTAGTGTTTTATTTGAATCCCGTTTTTGTGCTCGACTGTTACGCCACTGAGTTATAAAAGTCGCCTGACCGGCCGGCGGGTGGCGATGAGCTTTAAGACATCGGACTGACTGACTGCTCCTCTTGTTCCAAAGGAGTCTTACAAATTATAAATATTTACATACCAACATAACTACCAGCGCTTTAACGCATTTTTATCACCGGTTTTTATTTATTTAACCAAAAACTAGCACGGATTCTGTGTTTAACATACACATACACGCACTTATACGTACAACATACATAAAATTGTAGGCCTGCAACCCGACTCGAATTTATTATGTTCTTTAATGAGTAAAGTGCAATACTGATTAATATTCTCAAAAGTGTCTCAAATAAATACTGAAGAAATTGATCATATCCTCACATACGAAAACAAATGATAGAAGAAGTTCCAGAAGTTTGTATTTTTAATATTAGCAATAATGTACCTAGTAATGGATTAAAAAAACACGTTCCTAAGATATCAAAATTAATTATCTAGTTATACCTTATTACCTGCTTGGGCTTACGATACGCAAATGTTTAAAACCTCTGTTATCATTAAACAATAAAACGTTATAATCGGGATTACATAAATATAAAGCGACATAAAAAAAGAGAAAAAAAAAAGAAAACGAAGCTCTTGCTTCATCTTCCTCTGCCCGTGTGTACATTGTCATCGGGATCTCGCAAGCAGCGCGCTATAATAAAACTGGCAAACACTTTCAGATGTTTCCGCTTTGTTTGTTACTTTAGATATAAACAAAATAAAGAGAGTCAGTTCAAATTTATGGCACACTTTCCGCCTAAATAGGAGATAAGGCAGGTAATTAACTAATCAGAAAAGCGTTTTGTTTTTCTTAGGATACGTACGTAATTCAGTACTAATTAAATAGATATACGTATAAAAAAAAAACAGGACAATTAAACCCATTCTACCTTCTTACAATAATAGTACCTGTAAAATATTTTTTTTAATGCGAAGATTAGCTCGAGAAGTGGAGGTGCGTGTCTTCTGATGGGTGAAGACCATATGATAATGATGAATACAAATTGCATACGCCACATTACGAAAATTAACCAAATAATAACTTAACGTTTATTCTCTTTCTTTATTATATTAAAATTACAAGAAACAAAACAAAACTACAAACTGGAATGCTGAAAGAAATGAATAGGTAGTAAAAAAGCAATACTGAACTGTTACGTATGGAAACACATCCTACTTCTTGTAGACGTAACTTTCAGCTCCTCCGCGACCAAAACCTACAATAAAAAAAAAAATAAAAAAAAAAAAAACGCAATAGAAATTATCAGAAATATTTATTTTCGAACCTGTTGGTCCGAAAAGTGCGTTATAACAAGGGTGGTTACAGTAGGGCTTGCCCTCGTGTTCAGCATGAGAGCCGGGGGTCAAAGTTTTGTTACATTTTTCACATCTCAGGCAGGCTGCGTGCCAGTCCTTGCCCAAAGACGTTTTCCTTTCGGCTATAAAACAAAAGAAAATTAAAAGCAATCAGTCCCTCCAAAGAAGGGTCTTCTGGAAGTGAAGGGAACCCCTATGGTCATATTTAGATGCGACCATATCTGGAAAAAAATGCTTCGATAGTCTGGGTTATGGTATCAGACCAGAGCATGATTAGATTCCCTCATTTACAATCATTGGGAAACCATTTACAACTTCCCTAATTAATTCCAGTTACACCTGGTAAGTCAGTGAATAAGATCAGTGCCTGATCTCATTAAAATTTAAAGTTGGATGTCAAATTGATTTCATGTTGATTTTTAATATTTGTTTATTTTGTTAATTGCAAGTATGTACATGTTTATTACATACATACTAAATGTAACATTCGTTAACGTGAACAAATCGATAATATGAACAATGTTGATTTGTTTGGACCACATTATCGAGTGTATACGATTGAACAAACTGTAAATTCGGCAATATCACGGCGAAACGTCGTCGTGGCACCGACGTCCTGACGAAAAATAAGTTTTCTCCCTCGGGCGCTTCACAGCGTACGCTATTTTTTATTTCACCCATTGTCCTTTAGCAGTAAGAGAGATGCACATACAAACTCATCCTGTCAGGTCCCATTTAAAGGGATAAGCGTCCATATATGTAAATGTATATATGTTAGACTATCCTGGACGTAAGTTTTTGAAGCCAATACGGTAGGCAACACATTATACTTAGAATGACAAAAAGAACATCACGGTAATGCAACAAATGCAAGTTTTCGTGAAATACTCGAATTTGAGCTTCGTCTGTCTGATGTAAAATTTTTTTCGGTATACAATTTTTGATTGGTACTGTGTACAATAAATATCTAAAATATCATCCACGTAATATGCATGTATGTAGTGCAGAAAGTGAACAAGATTTACGTGTACGTATGTATGTATGAAGGCAATGTTATATACGTATGTATGTACGTACAATACATATGTGCTGATGAATAGGCTAATGACGAGAGCTACGCGGTAAAACTTGAGGGAACAAAAACAATAAGGCATTATCTGAGGGGGTAGGTACATTAACAACCACCCCGCAAAACCACGCATGTATGCGTTTTCCTTTTTTATAGATGTGCTCTGGAAAAATGGGAGAGATTATCTGGCATAATACAGGACCGCACTAGCTACTTTATTTCTTTTGTTTTCCCGAAAACTGTACGTAATTACACTTTAAATGATACAAAATAATCATAATGACTCTAATATATATAAATTCAACGCTTAATCTAAATCGCGACATACGAAAATTAATGTTAAGGAAAATTTTCTATCGCTAATAACAGACAGAAAATGGGTTTCTAGAATAGTTAAAGTAAAATAAATAAATTAGTTAATTAATGCAAAAAGAATAAATTAATACATGCGGTTATAAAAAAATAATTTGGAACTAATGTAAAAACTGATAATAAGACAATTGACGAGCTCGTTATTACATGTTACATGATATCATTCAAATAACTTTACAATTAGTACGTAAAGAGGAAATCACTAGTATGATATCACCTTTTTCTATACATTATTCATTCAAAAATGCCTCTAGAGATCGCGGTATTCGTCAGATCAACAAATAATGATTCATATGCTAGCGTTTGTAATTTTAGTAATAGTTAGATTGATTTTTTTAACTCAAAAGGATTATTTTTATTTAATATCGACATTAATTAAACGTTAAAAACAAACAAAAAAAGAAATTCTTCATCAAAACCTGAAATATACGGTAATGAACAAAAATTTTCGAGTAGGGAGTTTTTTTAAAACGATAACAGTTTAATGATCAGACGTGGACATATGTAGCCTGTAGCATAGTCCAGAAAATCATAACTTTTTTATTTGTAAAACGTAGGTTTTTAAAATAAAAAATTAAGATGTAAATTTGCTATTTTTTGCAAATGAATGAAAATTTTTAATATATACGGGAAATACGGTACTTTTTATTTAGTGATTTAAGGAATGATAAACTTTTCTTTTAACTGAATAACTATATTTTCTTTTTCCTTACTATTTTAGAGTTTTACTTTTACGATTAGCCATATGATTTCTGTAGAAAATGTACCTACTTACTACTACACGGTTTTAATTTAATTTTTGTTAATTAATATTTATTGAAAGATACACTACAAATCCGCATGTGCAGGCGTTCATTTTTTTGCTTATTACTGTACACGTGTAAAGGGGGTGGTTGTTGGAAATGATATAAAACACCCGCATCAACCGGCACATACAACCATACATACACACACACAGTCTATTTGTGGAGGAGTTAAAAGCTAGAAGAAATTAATGACGTGGTGTTTAAGTGGTAAGAGCGTGTGGATTTTCCGGCGATTTTTCTCTATTCGTCGTCTCTTCAACGCGTCCTCGTGAAAACCCCTGGAAACGATTCGAGAGGATTAGGCTTTTAATACTTTCGGGGACAACTTCATTTCACAGAATCTTATTGATTCGAACACTTTCGGGAATTAATAGCGAGCGGGGAAGAATGAAAAATTACGCGGGACGCGGCAACGGCAAAGGTCGCGCGGGGAAAAACGCGTATATCAATCAGATCAATTGAAAAAATTATTCTTTGTAACGCGAAAGAAACAACTGGAGCACAGATGAAAGATGATTTTAATACTTTGTACGCTTTTAAAAGCTTTAAGGTTGTGTTTAAAATATTATGCCAACTTTTAAAATTAAATATTTCGTGTAATTATTTGAAGGTCTTCAAATTAGTGCATTTTGTCGCGGAATACTTAACCTAATGTACTTACACACCCAATACATCGGTGATTAGCGGGTCGTCTAAGTAAGTTAATCGTAAGAATAAAATATGCCCAAATTCGCGGTTTTACCGTGTATCTCCTCAGTTCTTTTGCATTAAAGAAATAACGGTTTCATTTTAATGGAAGAATATTCTCTAGAGTTCTTTTTTGAATAATTGTGAAAACCGGAATTTCAAATATACATTAACGTCTCTCATCAAGTTCACTTTCCATCTTAGGAAATTTTATATATTGCTTATGAAAGAATGATTTTTTTTATGGTTTTTGAATGTTTTGTTATGAATTTGTTTTTCAAAATATACCAGTTGCCTAAATAAAATTAATAAAGCTGTTTGTTGGGTCACCTAATCCAAAGGCAAGTAAACTAGAAGTAGGAAAATCGTGTACAGTGCGACTCATAAATTATAACTGATTTTTGTCTACGTGAAAGAATGAATTATTAATTTGAAAATTACCATTTCACTCTCTGATACTAAACATATCCCATTAATTTTTGCAATTTTGAGTTTTTATGGTTATACTTGATAAAAGAGAAACTAGGCAAAAATATTGCATTTCTGTGTTTACTACAAACAACATATGATTCACCATATTTACAATGAGACGTAATTGATTACGAAATATATATACAGTGTATTACGCCATCGTAATATTTAGTTTATTCAGATACATAATAGTCTAAACAAAGTTTATGTAATATGATGATTAATGCATAATACATAATATTAGCAATACCAAGCATTCTTCATGTCTCACTTGTACTTTAATAAGGTTTCATATCCTTTTTTAGAAACCATTGAAACTTACAATGACCTTACACTAATCAGCATAATACCCGATTTTTATAAAACATTCACCGCTTTCTTGCTTCTTTTCTATTTAATTCAATTCAATAATTACAAAAAAGTGATTAATTCTTTTCGATGGATTTTAATATAATCTATATCTCGACTAACTTTTTTCTATAATTATTCTCTGTATTTATTTGCCGATGTACTCGTACAATGCAATTGTTTTATCGCATTGTAACGTATTTCTTAACAAAAGAAAGTTAATATTTGTTTGTTATGTGTATCTCTCGACTGCCTCTGTTAAAAGTTCGTAACTTTATAAAGTGTGTCATGATTAAATAAATACATGCGTTAAAGATGATATCATTGCAGTACTTTCAGTGACATTATGCTATCTATTTATTAATACAGTATTAACAAATGTGTAAAAACTAGAAAATATGTCAGCTATTTTAGATTGATTGCGACATTATAGATGCATCTTAAGTATGTATATAGCAATGAGTTTACGTCATTAATATAGATAGAATATAAAAAAATAATTAAAAACTGTATTATCGTTAGGTTTAGGTAATATCTATTTTTATTTTTAGTGGTAGGACATAAAAAGAATTTATCTCGAGATTACTATTAGTTATTATCAGCTGATTTGTAATTTTCGATAATACAAAATAATCATTATATATATATATATATGTGGACTCTCAAGTACCGATTTTCTCTGAACTGCTGGTAAATAGAGTACATAACTAGGCGTGTTAAAAATGTGTAATTATTTTTTTTCTGTTATCACATCAATTACTACGACAAGTTTCGAAGTAAGATAAAAATACGAACTTTTCTAATTACCCATTAGAGCACTAATTGCGGTACAATAATTATGCACAATTAGATGTTGTAGTAAAACGATTTAATGGTATTAAGTGTAGATAGGTACACAAAAAGCTACAACCGATGGATCGAAAAACATTAAATTTAATTAGTAACTGTACTCACGTCAGTACGCCCCTAAGATTATACTCTTCAAATATTCTTGAAGACCAAGCAGAAAAGATATTTTTTACTATTACCGAATTTACAATTTGTTATTGCGAGAGCGAAATTGTAAAAAAACTTATACACATGTTCATTCATACGTAGTAGTTCCACTTATGCAATAAGAAAGTGATTCTTCTGGTATTAATGAAATTTGACACCGATTGTAATGGCAAACCATCCGATACAGGCAGATACTACATGCATTAAAAATTGAAAACATTTTGTAGTTCATTAAAATTATTAATAAATTAACTTACCAAAATACACCGGTTTTTCACATTTAGGGCAGTTGGGCATTTTGGTTTTCTTTTTTTTTTTTAATACAAAGTACAAAATGTATTTTCTTTCGCGTACGAGAACAAGCGATCGCGGCAAAGTTTGTGGACAAAATAAACAAGGCGCAAGTTAGCTGGTAGTAACTTGACTTCTACATCTACCTGGACGGCTAATAAAGCTTTTGTTGTTTCCATAATCAACGAGCCAAGTGGAAGTCGCGTTATTACAAGGCCTTCAATGATTGCGCACGGTACCTACTATAATATATTGTACAATACGTGACACTAATAATGGTTGAATAATATTTTATCCTTGCTAACTGTAAATCCACCTTTCATGCGTTTACAGTGGTCATCATAATAAATAAACGCCATTAGTTTCATTCTGTAAGTCTCAGTGAAGCATATTTTTCGGTAACTTCTTTCGTTCGCTTCCTCACGGTAATTTCACCCCCTATCTCGTCATTGCTCCAACTCGAACCTTCTAAATGTAAATTTGAGGAAAATTGTCATGTTGGTGTTGTCTTTTCCTACCTACCGTAATCTTGTGAACCTAATTTAACTGTTTTTTTTTACTATTTTCCATAACATAATATTAAGTGCAGCAATGATTTTTCCGAAGAAAATTAATAGTAATTCAAGAAAGCCAAAAAATACGTCGAAGTCAGAGGTGCAATTAACCACCCCGTAGATCCTCGTCAGGGGCGCCCTCAAGTTCTTTAACACAACATAATATTGAAAAGCGCAGTGAAAATTTATGATTTTGATATTTCCGCTTAAAAACTCGAGGCATTGATTGTCGCTGCGAATGATTTTTCCGAAGAAAATTAATAGTAATTCAAGAAAGCCAAAAAATACGTCGAAGTCAGAGGTGCAATTAACCACCCCGTAGATCCTCGTCAGGGGCGCCCTCAAGTTCTTTAACACAACATAATATTGAAAAGCGCAGTGAAAATTTATGATTTTGATATTTCCGCTTAAAAACTCGAGGCATTGATTGTCGCTGCGAATGATTTTTCCGAAGAAAATTAATAGTAATTCAAGAAAGCCAAAAAATACGTCGAAGTCAGAGGCGCAATTGATACCTCGTAGACTCTTGGGGACCGACCAAAGTCAGGGGTGTCCTCATGTTCCTTAATAAAAATGTTAAATTAATTTTAATTCAATATTTAACAAACAAAAAAATGAAAACTGTTCTTCTTTTTGTCTCTGTTCTTTTCCGAATAAAATCGTACTATTTATTCATGTATTACGTAGAGTAAATCTAATCCTTGTAAAATTTTCAGTTATTATCCTAACGTAGGTAGCTGTGCTGTTCCAAACTTTTTGAAAAAATATTTGTCACCTTGGCTTTATTGCCATACCAACCGACGAAAAAGTAACATAATTGTCAATGTTAAAATCAGATTATGCACCGAAAAAAGGGAAATTCTCAACAGAGCCGATATTTTGTGAAATTCAATCACGTATGTGATATAGTCGATCTCGAAGATCCTGTACGGATTAATTATCCTGGTGACGACTTATGTTCTCGACTCAAAAGGACACTAGCTAGATGGCGAACTGTTTCAGATTATCGAAGAGACAACAGGTATCTATAGTATACAACATTTTCAACATACATTTGCTTGAATATGTTTGTTATCATTTTATGATTTAAAAACGTTGTAGCTATTTTCATTAGTTAAATGATTATTAATATTTACAATACCCAATAAGAAATAAGAGATCTTATCATTTTAATCTCTCAGTTGATAAAATTCATAAATGTTGTCATCATCCAATAATAAATATCTGCACTTTTTGATAATTTTGTAATACGTGCAAAATAATTTAGTCTTTTCCTTTTTTAGAATTCTTAGAAGTCAAGGCGTAGTTAGGGATGAAAGGAATAGGCATTTTGAAAACTACCCCTATATGATACACCCGATTAGTGATTTCAGGAAATGGTGGGGTCTTCATATGATCGTGGTGATGGCATTGGTCCTTTTTCTGGCCCCCATTAATTCTATATCGTTTTGGTCGATAGCGAGCAAATTTTATATCACATTAACTATTTTTAAATTAACTGTTCTGTACTGCGATTTCGTGCTAATCATTAACTTCATACTGAACTTTTTCACGGGAACAGAAAATATAGCAGAGAAGAGAATTCTGATGGACCGCCGTGAAATAGCGATCCACTATCTAAAAGGGTACTTTTGGGCCGACGTTTGGACAATCATACCCATTCAGTTCATCAGTTTGTTCTTGACGACCCAGCTGGCGATTTTGTTCAGCTTACAATTTACCAAAGCCATGACGTACGTATCATTCTTGAAGTATTACAAAGAATTTTCGGAAAACTTCAACGTAAACTACACGAAACAGAAGATGATCTTGCTTGTTTGTTCAATCATGTTCTACTTCCAATGGGTCACTTGTTTTCTGATGTTTATTTATTTGTGGAATTGCGGCGTTTTAAAGGGTACAATGCAGACAAAAGAAGAACTGATTGAAGCATTGAACCTGAAAGAGCCTATTACCCAATTAACTTATCTTAACGCAAATGGTTCGTACACCGGCGCCCTTTACAGGGCCACCATGATAATATTGCTAATAGACTATGGAAGGGCACCACCCTACAACAACGTCGAAAAAATGGTTGTGATAATGATTTGGGTCGTTTCTAAACTGGTCTACGTTCAAATTTTATCCTACATCTTTCAAGTACTGAAAGCCAACGGTTCTCCAGCCTACAAATACACAGAAACGCTGAAACAACTGAAGGAATACATGAGTCATAAACATCTGCCAGTTTACATGCAGAGAAGGGTGCTGGATTATTACGAATTTAGATTTCAGAACACATACTTCAAGGAAAAGGACATTTTAAACACAATATCTAATCATTTAAGACAAGAGGTGACGATGCACAGCTGCGGGAAGCTCGTGGAGAACGTCACCTTTTTCAAGAACCTTCCTATAGCATTGTTAGTAAGAATAGTGTCGTGTTTGGATACGGAAATTTATTTGGCCAACGATATAATAAGCAAAGCTAAAAGTGTCGGAAATTGCATGTTTTTTATAGCTTCTGGTACGGTAGCAGTATACACTCAATCGGGCAAAGAAGTGTGCCATCTCGAAGATGGTGCCCACTTTGGAGAAATAGCTCTGGTCTCATCGGATTCGAGAAGGGTGACTTCTGTAATTGCGGTGGAGGTTTGTGAATTGTTTAAATTGAGCAGGGACGATTTTGTAAGGGCCATAATGCCCTATCCAGATCTTCTAGAGAATATCAAGAAAATAGCAGCCGAAAGGATCGAAAGAGTTAATGTACTTGAAGAACAACTCGGATATATACGGAAGGAATCGTAATTTTTGGTAGGTACCGAAGTGTTCTGAAGGGATTTTTACAAATTCTGACGAAAATTGTTAGGAGATAGTAAGTTTTCGAAGCGATACTTCAACAGAAGAAATTAGTTGTCGTTTCGGACTATCGATTGAAAAAATAATAGTTCTAGGCACTTTCTGGGAACGTTTTGATGATGATGGTCAAGTGTTTTTGTTGAGATTTACAAGTCCTCGTTTTGAGAAATTGTTGTTTCTTCATACCTTCTGGAGACGTTCTGATGAAGACCATTGAGAGACAGTAATTCTTCAGGACGAAACTGTAATAAAAACATCAACAGAAAGATCGAGTGTTTCACTTTATTGGAAACAATTATCAAAAAATTTAGTTTAATTGCAATGAATTCATTTTAAATTTTATTATGGTTTTGTTCATTACACAGTGAATAATATTGTAAAATATATACTTATATAAATAAATGTATGTGCCGAAAAGGAAAAAATGTAGTGGTGATTTACCTACTAGTCGCAATTTTCATCCTGAACGAGGTCAGAAATGTTGAGACATGGTTGTGTGGCACACTTACACTTACAAGAAGCTGCCGATTCGGCACTTCTGACCGACTCGATGTCTTTGATGTCCTCTTGGTGGTCAGCCACTTTCTCGTCCGATTTGTGTTTCTCTTCTTCGACAGCTTCGGCTTTTTTTGTTTCTTCTTCTTTTTTCTCGACATAAAACGGATTCTTCCAAACGAAAATGCTCCCCGCTCCGCTCCCCGACACTATCAATTTCGTATCGGGACTAAATCGGATCGCCGTCACAACTGCAGCATGTCCCACTCCGATGTGAGTGGTTATACCTAAACAGTACGGTCCACAAGAGCAATAAAGAAAAAAAAAACAAACGGATCGGTGTTTGTTTACCTTCTTGATATTTCCACAATTTCACGATTTGATCGTTAGCTCCTGTGACGAACAGATTCCCGTCTTCCGATATGTCCAAGGTATTTACCGATCCCGAAGCCGATCCTTCCACTTCCCGTATCAGATTGCCATCATACACCTCGACACAAAACCCAAAGTAAACAAAATCGCAACATAACATTCGTAAGACAAAAATTTCTTTTCTGAGATCAAAATTAATGAGTGTCATTTTCAACTCTAAATAATAAAGATCAAAAGCTGATATCGATAATAATAACACTTATTAATTATGATTCTCTCCCTAATAGTGGCTAAAAAAAAAACCAAGATCGAAGATATCATTTCTGACGTCAGAATTGCCTCACCATACGAAGGTTCTGAAATATCTTAAATAACCGCAAAAGGTGCTAATTTGGTTTGTTTTATTTTTGAAGTTAGAATACCTTTAGATTTCAATGTGCTAGGGCAATTCTAATCCAAGACCTGTGTCCACCCTCCAAAAAAGCTTTTCATTTCAACCCGTCATAGTAGTGCTCTCTTTTTCGAGACCACTACAGTGGAGGGTTGAAATGAAGAGAATTATTTCCGGCATATTTTTCAACTACAAACTCGAATTAAGTCCGGAAAAGCTTTAGCGCATTCAAATTTATAAATGTCCTAATCTTAAAATTACTCAATCCAAATTAACATCCTTCAGGTTTGATGCGAACCAGATTCGAATTCAACGTCAAAAGACATCTTGAAGTTGACCACTTCCTTTTATGTTTCTTGCCATTTTAGTTGTATTTTTTTTGAATTTCGGTGTTGAGATATCTCTTAGGGCAAATTCAGGTGCAGCGTTGGAAATTAGGTCAAAAATTATTAGTTTAGCATTTTTTGTTCTTTTCAGTCCACGATTTTGTTGGCCTGAGAATTAATCATTACAAATTTTATTTCTTTTCTCTTTCGTACCTCCCAATAAGCTACTTTCCTGTCCGAACCCCCCGTGAGTAACTGTACGTCTGTGGGGTAGAATCTGACACACATAAAAAGGGTGTTGGAGAAAAGAATCTGCTTTCTACATTTCCTTATCAAGTCCCATATGATGCAGGACCCGTCGGTGCTCGCACTTGCGGCCTCGTCATCGTTGGAATTGATGTGAATGGCTGAGATCGGGGCCTTGTGTTCTTTCAAAACACAAACCAGCTTTTGTCTAAAAAAACAAGACGATAATGGGAAAATCTTCGGTCCCTAATAAGAATTGTGTACCTGTAAGGAGTGACTTCCCACAGACGAACCTGTCCTTCGCAACCACCGCTGACCAGAAATTTATCGCTGTGGGTGATGTCCAAGGCAGACGCGCCCTTATTATGGGAGTTCATTATAGCGTAGATGAGTTTACCGGTTAATGGGGTGAAAGATCTTATGACCCCGTCGTTCCATGCCGTGACAATGGACTTTCCATCGTGGGAAAAGACAACGGCGGAAGCGCTGAAATTTGCCACTTCTATACGTAAAAGTTCGTTGAAAGTCGACGTACTCCAGACGCGGACGTCGTCTTTGCTGGCTGTTGCGAACACGTCCGAAAAATTTCTACGGAGCTATACATGTAAAAAAGTCGTAGAAATGATAACGCAATAATTACTCTGGGAAGCAAATGTCGTAAATGACGGAAGTGTGACAAGTGAAGATTAGTTCTGCTTCAAATGAATCCATGTTTATTATGTAGATTTCGCTTTTTGCAGTGCCCGCCAGTAACATTCCTCTACTAAAATTCAGAGACGTTACCGTACCATTCACGTTGGTCGACTTGAGCTAAAAATGAGCTTTTTTTCACGCCTTCTTATGTACATAGTGGGTCACCCCACTATTATGTAGGCTTAGTGTTGTGAAAAACACTTTCAAATAAACCATTCTTAACTGCAAATCCACAATTTTCAAAAGTACTTTTTAGATTGTGGAAAATTAGATTGGAAGAATGTTTTATTTGGAATTTTCGTGATTGATATTTCACCCGAGCGCTAATCTAAATAATTTTTTTATGATTCTCTTACAATACGTAAAACAGGGGACGAAGGCAACTTGAAGGCGACCGAGACTTCCTTCTCCTTACAGTCCTTCTGTTTTTCTTCCACCAGATCCACCGAGCCGTCGCCCGCACCAATCAGCAGTTTTCCACTTAGAAGTAAAATAATCGATCGAACTCCTGTGTCGTTTCCAAATTTTATCAAGGCTTTTAATAAAGAGATAAATATTTATTTTGCAAATATACCTTGTCCATACAATTCTACTTGCCCACGGGGCAGCGTCTTTTTGGCAATTTTGGTAAAGCATCCCTTAAGTATCGGCGTTTTCACTGGCACCAAAATGTCGACATCGTGGTGGAAATTAAGCCTTATCTTGAGCACATCGCCAGTGCTCGTACCACAATAGCACACTTCATCCCTTTCGTGAATGTCTATGCAGAGTACTTGCTTCAAATTGATTAAACTTTTTAATTGTTTTTTTTTTTTACGAGACACTAATAAGCTTACTCTTTTCAACTTGGACATATTAACATCTACACCAGACATGCTTCTGGCCTCACGATCTATACTCCAAACCGTTAAGTTGTTGTCACCCCCGGAAATGAAACAGGGGACCCTACTATTCGTGGTACATACGGTATACGCTTCGCCCTGCATGCCTTTGGTTGCCGTCGTTCCGCATAATGGTTGACCTGCGGCTATGTCCCAAACGACCACGAAACCACAATCACGACCACCAATCGATATTAGATAATGGTCGCCTTTAGAAAATGCCAAAGCTTCCACTCGTACCTTGTGAAGTTCGTAAGAAGATTTTATTTCGCGTTTTGCGAAATCCCAAATTATTATTTTCGCCTATAATGCGACCCAATTAATGAGATTATTTTAAGGGTATACCATAAAGTGTTACCTTAAAACCTATGTGGTTAATTTGACCAGACGCTATGTATTTCCCTGATGGAGATAAGTTTATTGCAGAAATGATGTTGGTGTGGCCTGACAATGAGTGTTGTTTCTTAGTGTCCAGATCAATTATAACAACTTTATTTCCAACAGGATAAATTATATGTTTTCCATCCGGATGAACCTTAACACCTTGTACGATACTTCCTAACGGGATAATATTTACAACTTAATTTTAAATACATATGTATTAATTTTTTGTTATTATACCGTCAAAACCAATGATACTAACTACTTCTAACGATTCCACACCGCCTTCTAGCACATCTTCCCCTGGAGGAGACATTTCTTTTAAAATTGTCGCAAGATAAACCTTTAATAAATTGACAAAACTTTTGCTTCAAAGTGTAGGGTGTGACTTTTTGTTTCCATAACAACTAATTCGAAATAAAATATACTAGAAAATATCGACATTAAAGCAGTTCCATTAATCTATTTATACGTGAAAATTATGAATCGTACGTTCAAGTACTATGTATAATTTTGAAACCATTTTCTCTCTCATTTATTTCGTTTGGGATTGTACACCTCATAAAGTACCCATCAGTTGGGGAATTTAGTATTCAGGAAGTGGATCTTTTTTCAAGATTGGTAATAGTTATTTCAAATTCGAATTGTACACTAAATAACGATCTGTTAAATAACCTAAAAGATCTATTGTTTTCAGTCGTTACTGATTTACTAAAGTTTTTACTAATTTTACTTATCAAAACATTATAACGTGGCTTACACTACAAGTAAAATGAACGATAGCGTAAGTATTGTCAATTCTTGTAAAATTCCTATTTTAACTAAGAGATTTCAGGACTTTGAAGAATTTCAATATAAACTGAATCTTATGCTTGAGAAAAATCGATTAGATTCCTTTAATAACAAATGGGTATTCGATGATAGCAAGCCTTGTAATGCAAAAAAGGTAAATATTTATTCAATTTTCAGTTTAAATAACAATACAATGTTACTATAGTTGGCAGAAGCAGGTTTTTATTACACTGGAACTGAAGAAGAACCAGATTTTGTTCAATGTTTCTTTTGTGACAAACAATTAGTTGGTTGGGAAGAGGAGGATGATCCTTGGCAAGAACACCTTCATCGATCTCCCCAGTGCGAATTTGCAAAACATAACAAGTTGGAAATGGAGCTGACATTGGCACAGTTCATTCAATTAAGAGAGAAACTTGTAATGAAACTTTTTAAAAAGTGGATGTCAAAGAGAGATGAACAGTTTGAGTGGATGTTTAAAATGATCAATGAATTGAAAAGACGATAAATTGTAGGTAAAGATGTAACTAGGAACTTAGGGTTAATTAAAATTTAATATGTAACTTCCTGATAAATAGATTAATGGATAACAAAAGAGCGAATTTTATACATGCTCAATTAATTATTTTTTTATGTAATTGTAAGAGTAATGTTTAAAATAAATCATTTTTTATTATTAAAAGGACTTTGCTTCACAAACAATTCGTTAACATGCAAATACTTTGTAGTTGATTAAAACAAGTACTACAATTTCCAGTAGGACACTATGAGGCTTTATTAATGACTTCCCTCCCCCATAAGTCCATTCAATTTCCTCAGCATTGTGGGATTCTGCTGTTTCATACCCATTTCCAATATTGCATTTATCTGTGAGACAGCTGTGCTGATAATAATTAATACCTTTGGAACTAGTACTGAATTCTACATTTTCTAACATAGAATTACTCCAACAACCTCTGGCAAACACCAGAGGTCGATTAGCATAGGTATCTTTCTAAAAAAAGAAAAGGTAGACGACAGTTCATAAAAGATGAACATTCTCTTTTACATAATTTTTAATTGTAAAAGAATATTTAGGCCAGTTAAATGGTTCTTGTTTAACTTCAAAACATTAAAGTAGAAGTAATATTAGTTTAGGAAGAAAATATTATTTTGTCTTAAATTAATTTTTTATTCATTAAACCAATTTTAATAAAAATGTCTGTTATAAATATTGTCCCGTACAGGCAACCCACCATACACGAAGATGCGTCAAGGGTGACCTACAGTAGGTTATCGATATTATGCTACTATAAGAAAAATGCCAGAATTCTGTGGAACTTACATTCTGGAATCGAATGTTTCTAGAACAAGTCCAGCCCCTATAAGTGCCTTGAGGTCAGGAAAGTAATTCTAGTTCGAAACGTCAGGAGGCGGACTTAGAAGAGCGAAGAGGGGATCCAGTAGACAATGGAGTAGGGATCAAAGGATTAATTAATAATAGCGATGTAATTGCAGATTAATTAGAGAAAGAGCGTGAAAAGAATCTTATTATGCGACATTTTCGCAGTTCACTTTGTAGGTGTGAGTTCGAATTCCCCTTCTGGCACTAAGTGACATTATAAAACACCTTTCGCACTCCAACTGACTTATTTTCAATTTTATCTTCAATTAGCATCACTACTATTAATTAATTATTAACTCGCCAATATATATTGCCCACGGATTTGCTTCTTTGTTCTTCTTATTTCGCCTTTTATCGCTTATTTGTCTTCCCATCCACGGCACGATTTTTTGACGCTAAACGTTGGGCTTGTTCCAGAAAGATTCTATTCCCGAATGTAGGTACTAGAGAATTATGTCCTTAATTCTCATGTGCTTACATTTATTACTTACATAATTTTCGATTCTCAAAATGGAACATCGTTCTCCAGGGTGACATTCTACTAAATTGTCTTGTTCAAATAGTTCGTCGAAATGGTTAGGGAGGCAAGATATGTCCCAATCGTTGTAATTGACCGCATAAATGCATCTATAGCATTTTAACGCTATAAAACGATATTATTACGTAAATTATTACAATAATAATATATTTTAGTTCGTTACCCAATACGGCCTTTTGGCATAAAAGCAAAGTCAAAAAAGCACTTAAAAGCATTTTATTACCGTACTAAGTTTCGTTATAAATTAAAGGATTATTGAAAAATTCTCGTTTCAAATTTTCATAGGATTAGTTGTACATTTTTTTTTATGATAAGCACGTATAGTTTATATTTAACGTTGAACGTGAGATATAGCGAGTTGAAAATTTTACATTTTTGTAAAATAATTGTTTTTTTAGGACTTGATGTTTAAAATCTCATTATTGTTTTTTAAATATAGGTATTACATACACCATATAGAAACTAATAAACTACCTATTTATCTCTTCATATGTGATAAGATTAGAATGTTTTAGCGTGCCTACGGATTTAAAATCCGTTATCGATTTATCAATTTTATAATCAAAAATCCACAGTGGTTTCTTTTTCGAAAGCTTATCACACATAATAATGTCATTAATAAAGAGTATTTATTGTGTTTTGCACTGATAATGAAGGGTATTATTCTCATTTTCAGTTTTTTAACAACACTGCTTAACAATTCACTGGGTAAGATACATAGTTCCCTTTTTAAAAAGTTAGTTAAAACGCAAATTGGAAAAAATATTGTGTAATGTGGATGAGAACATTATCAACTTAATAAAATTGACGACCCTTAATTTTAATTAAGACTAAATTTTAGCATTAGAATGTTATTCATGTGGGTGGGATGCTGGAAATGTGGATGAAAATTGTGTTAAAGAACCTTCATTAGTTAATAATGGTGTTTTGGTTTGCGACAAACGATATTGTTATTCTATACGAGTAGAACAAGCGGTAAGCTGGCTATTATTTTAAAGGAAATAATGATCACATATGTTCCATTTTTCATTTTAAAATATTATAGGGCAAAGTTACGTCAATGTACAGGAGTTGCGCCGACAAACCCCAATACATAAATAAACTTATCAAATATGACGACTTCAAAATATACCACATGGCCTGTACCACTACTTTGTGTAATTCAGGATCCGGTAAGGAAATTTACGGCTCTGGTTCAGGCTCTTCAGGTATCCTATATGTACCCGGATATGGATATGGGGGAAGTACCGCTCTAAAATCTAAATATACGCATCTGATTTTATTGGTTGTTGTAGTTGTGTATAGATTTATGTAATTTGCTGATAAATATTTGTAGTTTAAATTGTCGTCTTTAATTAAAACATTATTATTAATAAATAATTAGTCTACCGACTATATTTATCTAATATCCACGAAATGTAAATCTCTTCATGATGACCTTTGTTGATCAATTATCTATGATGATGACCCATACGACCCATAGATACGACCATAGATTAGAGATATATATTACTTCAATGCTCTCGATACATTATAATCTCATCTATGGATACGACTTAAAATCATAGACCTATATTTGATCTACAATCTGTAACCGTCTATAACCTAATTTTTTAATTAACATAACCTAGGTTTTTAACCCATATAATAAATGATTTTTATATAGTAAATAATTTATAATGAGTCTTTGTGAGGCAGAAAAAACGTTTATATTACACGGTGTTGAGGTAAGTAGTACTTCTTTAACTGAACAGTTGAAGTTTACTTTTGTTTTGTGTAGGAGAATTTTAGAATAGATGGACGAGAAAGAGAAGATTATAGACCAATGGAGGTTGAAATTGGTATTATTTCGCATGCTTTTGGTTCGGCCAGGCTAAGATTAGCTAATACAGACGTATTAGTAGCTGTAAAAATTGAGGTTGACACCCCTTACCCTGAAAAACCTTCTCAGGGAAAACTGGACTTTTTTGTCGACTGGTTTGTATGCATAAGTTAATTTTTAATTTCATACTAATTAATACATTGTAATAGTTCTGCCAATGCAACTCCTGATTTTGAAGGAAGAGGAGGTGAAGATTTGGCTACTGGTATATCAAATAGTTTGTCAGATGCTTATAGGTCATCAAAAGCGTTTGACTTGAAAAAGTTGTGCATTATGAAGGGTCAGAAATGTTGGAAATTGCTAGTTGATATTCTTGTAAGTCATTAACATTTATCGAAACATATGAAGATAATATTATTATAAATACTATTAGTTATTAGAGTGTGGTGGAAATTTGTATGATGCTGTGTCATTGGCTGTTAAAGCTGCTCTATGGAATACACGTGTTCCTGGTGTTAAGTCTGTTGGTATTGATGGAAAAAATGTCGAACTAAATGTTTCTGAAAGATTAAACGATTGTGTTCCTCTCGATGTGTCAGGTGCCCCTGTAATGGTTTGTATGTAGTACTTGACTAATAGGACATATTTTAAAAAAATATTTCTAGGTAACTGTGTGCAAAATAGGCGAATATTGTGTTGTGGATCCTAGTGCTGCTGAGGAAAAATGCTCTTCAGCTGCTCTAGTTGTTGCTGTATCTCAGGGGAATATTACAACTGTTCTACAAGGCAGTGCAGGATCGTTACATCCTACAACATTAATGGATAGTTTAGGTTTAGGAGTTGAGGTTGCTAATCAGCTTAATATTGCTCTTATGGAAACACTTCAATCTGCTCCTCCACATTTTGATGTGGGATTTTTAAAATAATTCCATTGAAACTTGTTACATTTCTGTATAAAACACATTATTTAGTTAATATTATTTGTGATAACTATTTAAATACAATATGTGTGAGGTCTCAAAACCGTGATCGTGTAGTGTATACGGTACAGTTCGTCATGCATCTCTTCACCTCAGTTGAAATGCGGCGCCTCTTGATTTGATGGCATCTCCTCATTGGTAGGAGACGACGAAATGAGTGTTGAATTCTTCTATCTCAGCCTTGTGATCCTTAGCATATCCGTCAAACCAGTGACGGGATGCTATTGAATCAATAAGATAAGAGCGCCATATTTCAACCGTGATGTCCAGAAGTACTTATCGACGGAATTAAAATATGGATCTTGGCATCGTGAATCAGATTGGTTCAATAGCATGCTATCACTGGTTTGATGGACAGCTTACGATCATAAGATTGCGGTAGGAGAAGACAATACTTGTGTTGTTTCCTTCTCCAACCGTAATATTATGATCTTATGTATATCCGTCAAACGACTGAGGGGATGCTATTGAACCATCAACAGCGTCGCATTTAAACTATGGTACCCAATGGTACCGATATATGGCCGATATGCATGACGGAATTAAATCATGCTGGCTTTACGAAATTCCGAAGTTGTCAAAAGTATCATCTGCCTATAATAATCTACCTTACACGGTTGGGGGTACCTATCCACTGCCTTTCATAAATGTGTTTCCTGTGCAGTAGTAATGGCTGAGAAATTGAACAAAAATAAAATTGAAGAATATGAAAATTTTATAGAGAAGAAATTAAAAAGAGATCTTGCTGAAATAGAGGAAATTTTAGAGAAAAAATACGAAAATTATTCCCATTGGGCTGATCTTAAAAGCTTGATTCAAGGACTAAAACTTCAACAAAATGAAGAAAAGGAATATGATATTGCTGTTGATATGGGGTGTAGCGTGTTTGCTCATGGACGAATCGAAGAAGAAAATGTTGTGTTTGTTAATATAGGGTGTGAGTGTTATTTACCAATGGACTATAACGAAGCTAGTAAATATGCAGACATTAGAATTAAAGTGATAGAAAGGGAAATGGAACATTATAGAAAATTGGCTGTTCAAGTTAAAATGAACATTAAATTGTTTTTATTAGCTATTGAAGAACTTAATACAAATTTCAACAATTAAACAACTTTTCTATTGTACGTATTTTTAGTAATATAATTAATACTTCATTTGCTTTTTATTTTCGATGGTTCTATTAGAGGTTAAGACCATAGACAAACTAAAATTATTTAAGGTTAGGCGAAGCGGACAAGGTTATGTATTTGTTGTGATATAAATTAATATTTATTTAAATTTAGTGTTTTTCAAAAAGTAAATGATGGATGATGATTATGACGAAAAAGTTTGGGATACTGACCATCATATGGACGACGAAGTATGTTACAGTCAAATTTTTGGTTTATTTTTGCTTAATTTTTATTTTTTATAGTCTGAGGGATTGGACGATAATGCTGAAAATCCAGAGCAAGTTCTTGCAGAATGTGCAGAGAAGTTTTCCACACCAGATTACATCATGGAGCCCGGTATATTTTCACAACTTAAGCGGTTAGTAGAAAAAAAGCTATAGTTTGATGTACTCAAAATGTGTATAGTTATTTTCAGTCAGGGGGCAGTCCAGTTCAAGTAATTGAGCAGTTATCCCACAATTACACAGCTGTTGCGCAAATGGCTAATCTTATTGCAGAGTGGCTGATTATCGGAGGTAAATTTGATCTGCTTTTCCTGCTAAGATATTCTTCATATATTTTGTAGGAGTGAAAGTTCAAGATGTACAGGCAATGGTAGAAAATCACTTGAAAGATATGATTCTTAAAACATTCGATCCGAAAAAAGCAGATACTATATTTACTGAAGAGGGTGAAACTCCAGCATGGTTAACAGAGTTAATAGAACATCCCACATGGAGGTCTCTTATTTACCGATTAGCAGAAGAATATCCAGACTGTTTAATGTTAAACTTTACAATAAAGGTTCATTTCTTAGGAAAACAAAGCTATTATTTTGATCTAACATTGCACCACTTTTTATAGCTAATATCTGATGCAGGGTTCCAAGGGGAGATTACTAGTATATCAACAGCAGCTCAACAGCTTGAAGTTTTCTCTAGAGTTCTTAAAACCTCTATCACTGGATTTCTTAATAATCCAGAAGAATGGCAAACTACAAGCAGAGAATGTGCAGTAAGTATTAATCATTTTATCTGATTCTGTGAAGTTACTCCCTAATGAATGGTGCTTTCAGAAAATGGTTTGTCATGGTCAACATACATATGTTTATAGTCAGATTATAATGCAGGTTCTTGCAAGGGAAGCTAAAGGTGGGAGCAGTATGAGAAGGTTGTCTCAGGAAATAACCAAGTGTGCACAAAAAAAGTGAGCAGTATTTTTAATAATAGTAAATGGAAAAATTAATTACAACTGCTTCTAGTGGTCACGATATTACGCCAATAACGATGGCCTTAAATGGGGCCTCAGCTCATCCTCAAGCTTGCCAAGCATTGACATCAATGTTGTCAAGGAATACATTAAATCCTGCAGATATAACTGTTCTCTTTAGAAATTACTCATCTCCTGACCCTCCTCCAATAGATCTTATTAGAACGCCACAATTTTTAGGTAAGGGAAATATAAACTCAATCTAATGGTGGTTAATAATAGACTCCTTGACCTTCCATTGTTGAATTATATTGTTTTATAACACTGAACTTGTTATGCTTTAGAACTTTTAGTGGATTCACTGTTTAAATCAGGAGTGAAACTGAATCCTGAACATAAACCAAAATACATTTACTTGTTGGCATGTGCTGCATGTGTATGTGAAACTCAGGTAAAGAAGGGGCAAAAGAGAACTTGGAATAAAGACGAACTCAAGGGCACAATTAATGCAATTGAAACTGTGCATAATATTTGTAATGTCAATAAAGGAAGTTCAGAATTAATGGCAGAGTTGGTGACAATATATCAATGTCTAAAGTATGTTTTAGTATTCCTCTTTGGAGGATATTCAACATTGTTTGTTTTAGGTACCCTGTGGTATCTGTTGGGATTGTTAGGTGGGTTGAGTGTACAGTGACGGAGCCAAGTTACTTTAAACTTTCAACTGAACACTGTCCTTTACATATGGCTATGTTGGATGAGGTTGTGAACTTACATCCTTTACTTCACAATCAAGTACTTGATTTGCTTATAAGATTGTTTGAATCTAAGCAGGATGAGTTGGAAATTTTGGTTCAGGTATACTCAGTCTTTAAAAAATTACTTTGTATCTTACAAACTTGTTATATTTCCAGTTGGAAATGAGAAAAATGGTTCTTGACCGAATGGTCAATCTTCTTTGTGCAGGTTGTGTAGTTCCTGTTGTTAAATATATTAAACAATGTTGGCAGAAAGGCGATACAGATATATCACTTATTAGATATTTTGTTACTGAGGTAAATTAAAATATATACATGGGTAGGTTTAATTGATAAGTATGTTTTTTGTTAGGTATTAGAAGCAGTTGGACCTCCATACAGTTCTGAATTTGTGAATTTGTTCATGCCCATGGTAGAAAACGATGAAATCACAGGCACAATGAGGGGCGATGGTGAAAATGATCCTGTGTCAGAATTTATAGGTGTGATGATAGTACTTACATTTTCATTATTAGAATTTTTTGTTAACCGTTATCTTTTTTGCAGTGTATTGTAAAGCCAATTACATACCAGTGTTATGAGTGAATCACACAATGGTTATTAAATATTTTAGATATTTTGTTTTAAATTATATTCCAGCTTTTAATTTTTTCATAATAAATCTTTGTAACTTCTTCTATTATCATTGTATCATTTAAAATGCCATAAAAGCTACCGATGTAACTTGTTAAAGACTAGGGTTTTGTAAAATTTAAACAGAGCCCATTAGGCGGTTTGAAAGATATTAGCGAATGAAAACGACAAAAGTAGCAGTTTCTGCATTTCAATGAAATCGTAGCCAATGATCAAAATTTGAACGCATTCGACTACTCCATTTATAATTACCTATTAAAAGTTAAAGTTCCATGATTTTAATTTTGAGCAATAGAATTATACGATGTATGCAGAAGTGCCACATAACAAAGTTCCTTAAATGATAACTTAGTCCCCTAAAAACAGTGCTGCATTAATCCTGCGAAGGCCACTGTTACATGTACTACCAAATGAAAAATGTCTGATTTGGTTGAGCACCTGTTTGGATGTGACACTTCTTTTCTTTCATTACCTTTAAGATGAAGAAGTCCATAAAGCATTTCAAACTGCATATTTCGAGGATAAGGTTGAGGATGGTGATTTTTCACATACTTTCCACATGAGGTATTTCTTTTTATAATTCTTGGTCTACAAAATCCTGAAAATGACAAAGCAAATAACTAAAGGATGAGTAAAACAAAAAAATAAACATTGACAAAAATTTACTTATTTTTATAGATGCAGAGTGGCACTTCTACAATATAATTAAAAAGTGTAACCAATTACACTGAAATTAACTCTGTTTTACTTTTATACATATGATTGAATTAAAATATTTTTTTAAAGGAGATACTTAAAATCAGAGATGTTACATAGTTTAAGTGCTCCCATCGAAGCTTCACATGTTATGCTGGAAAAATGAAAAAAATATAAGTAATTTCTTTTTGATATATTGTGTATTTAGTGCCCTACTCTGTCTTCCACGTATTTATTACTCGGTGCTTGTTGCAGCCCTTTTCTTTTTCTTTTTCTTTTCAGAACTAGGAGTAGTTGTTTCAACTACTGAAAATTGCCCTTCAATCTTCTTCTTCTTCTTTTTCTTTTGCGGGGTGTCTTCTGCCGCCTCATCTTCAATTTCTTCTTTTACTTGTATACTTTCTTCAGCTTCTTGTTGCTGTTTCTTCTTTTTCTTTTTCTTTAAAGAACCTTAAACAGCAAAGTTAACATTCAATAAACAAATTATCATAATTTAATAAAAACTTACCTCCTTCAGAAACCGATGGCTCTGCCATCGTTTCTTCATCTTCGGTCTTTACGCTTATTTCTTCTTGTGTATCTTCTTTTGTGTGATCTTTTTTGGATTTCTTCTTCTTTTGCTTTGGTGTTGAGAATGATGCTTCACCATCTTCCTCTTTAACATCAACTTTTTCTTCTTTTAATGACTTGTTGTCTTCTGAAACTGATCTCTTTCTTTTACTAGGTGGAAGTGTTGAATCTGCAGCAGCAGGGTATTGCTTTATCTCACTGTAATTATAATATACTAAATAATATAGTTTTAACTAGGCATTAACTTTATTTTTGTCTTACCTGACTGCATGGTATTTTTCAAACTTTGCTTTGGCCTTTCCAGTTCCACTTATCCTCTTCAAATTTCCTTCTTCCAGTATTCGAAGTCTAGCTTCTAACTTGGCCTTGTGCTCAGCCCCTAAAATAAAAGATGCGTCCTCCCCTAAAGCGTCAACGCGAGCACCTAGGGCTGTTTTGGCTGCTAACATTCGCGATACTTTTCCTTTATTTTTAACACTTGCTTGACCTATCAACTGTGCATGATAAATTAGGCCATACTTTGGAGTATCCTTTTTAGTTTTCAAAGCTCTAAAGAGAGCTTTTTCTGAACCTAAGATCTGTATAGTAGATGCTGGATATTTGGCCAAATTCATTAAAGAACCAGCGTGGGCAATAAGTCTTGCTCCCACTAGGTCTCCTACTAATACAGTTACATTTGGAGCCATGGCCATCATCCGTGTTTTCAAATAATCATATAGTTGGGTCCGATAATTAGATATTTCTATGACTTGATCACACAAATGTTGAATGTTGATTATATCCTCTTCTGATATTTCAGTACCCATTGAAATTTCTGCTGCTTCCTTTACTTTCTCTTCAAGTTCTTCAGGAAGAATATCTGACAGATCTGATTCTGCTGCATGCTCCCTTGTTCCAATAATTTTTACAGTTTTGACAAAAGCAATGTTATCAGTAATTATTTTTCCCAACTCAGGAAAATGCCACCCATACCATTCTCTACATCTCATCATGTAATTGTTGAGTTCTTTGTCTAAATCATCTAACAAACTTACTGCCTGGATGATCATTGTGTCTATTTTGTCAGGGGAGAATTTTAGTTTATATCTTGATAAGGAATGTGCCAATCCTAATGCCATAGCTGTCATTTCTTTTTTGGGAAGTCCTGCCAGAAGACTGTCCAATTGGCAACGAATGCACCGCATTAACTCCTGAACAGCTGTGTTGGATATGCATTGCAAATTAAGTTTGTCCTTTATTGCACTTCCTAATTTTGCGTCTGCTACTAATAGCTGATCTTGTATGTCTTTGTCAACATATTTTTTCAGTACCTTCTTGAGGCTTTTAGACAGTTTTCCTTCCACAGCGGCTGTGGTTGCAGCAAGAGCTTCAGTAGTGTCAGTGAACTTTTCAAAATGCTTCAATTTTACACTAAAAAATAAAACTATGAAATAGTCTGGCTTGTTTATGCTAAACAGCGAATCTTACATCTTACTAGCAGCTTCTGGCGTTTCGAATTCCAAATATAAGTTATCCGTTTGTTTAAGTTTGTTTTCATTAAGAAGCTAGGCATGGAAAAAGTAAGGTTAATCTAGTTTATCTACAATATATTGCACATATACCTTAAATATAGCGTAACCGGCCGGGGTTTCAAAAAGGACCAACATTTTGAACACATGCAATCTCTTCTTAGCTTAAAGAAAATAAAATGGAAATAATTTACAAATTAACCAAGGCAGGAATGCACAAATAACCTATACTGTCTACATCCATAGATAACAACAAATGCTGCCACCTACATGCTGCAAGTTAAAGTTGAAGTCTTATCTACGGTAGTCGGTAGTAGCCTATAGTAGTAGCCGTAAAAAAGGTTGTTGTAACCCAGACATTGTAATGATTATTCCAATTAACCGTCGTAGCCAATGGCCAATCTCGAAATACGCCATCCCAAATACAAATAGATAGGTACTTTACAGGTTTACAGAATAGGTCTTTTCCGCATGAGTACGATAGTCTTACCTTTCTTATAATTCTTGCCATTCTTGAAGTAAACCTGATCATCCTCCAAACTAGTGAGACACTCCTGGGATGGTAGTGGCAATGGCATACATGGGACTTACAAATCAATGGTTTTCTTGAAAACTTTACATTTTAGAACCCTGACAAAAACGACGCAATTATCAACAAAAGTTTAAAGTAGCTAAATATTCCACCGTACCTCCATCCCTAACACCTCCTGGTTGGTTGAGAACCCCCCACCACCCCCGCAAACTCATCAACTGTTTTGCGGGCCTCAACACACTCTCTCATAATTCCACGTTCGATTCTGGAAGAAGAGGATGCAATTAGAAAGAATTAAGAACACCCGCCGGTAGATGAAGAAGATAGTCAGTCTTACCTTTCTCATAATTCTTCCCATTCATTGAAATAAATCTGATCATCTTCCAAACCGGTGGAGACACTCCTGGGACGCTAGTGGTAATGGCGCACATGGGACTCATAAATCAATGGTTCTCTTGAAAACTTTACACTTTAGAACCCTGACAAACACTACGCAATTATCAACAAAAGTTCAAAGTAGCGATATATTCCACCGTACCTACATCCCTAACACCTCCTGGTTGGTTTAGAACCCCCCACCACACCCGCAAACTCATCAACTGTTTTGCGGGCCTCAACATGTCTTTTCATACCAGTGAAGTGGATGCTAAGAGAAAAGGTCAATTAAAAAACACCCAATGCTGGTTGCAGGCATCCAAACTGCTTGTGGCGTTCCAAGGGCGGTAATACAATCTGGTAGCGCCATACTTGGGATTTGTTTACCAACGAATTGTGATTTGTTCAAGTCCTTTCTAACACCCTTGCAATCTTTTGAACGGTTCATTGGCCGATTACTCTGGGACACTTTGAGACCTTTATGAAAAAAATACAATTGCGACCAACAGTTCTAGACAGTGAATATTCTTTCTTCAATGTGCTATTTTTCATCCTCCTCGTCCCTAACATCTAAACTGTAATCGTACAACTCCAAGTATTTCCTTGCTTCCCGTTCCCAACGCATACTCTCAAACGCGTACGTGTATATTCCCGAAGGCGAATCTGCGGAAACGAATCTTCTTCCTATTAACACTAAAATCTTCATGAAAACCAACGCATCTTCCTTGATCCGAAAACGATACGAAAAATGAAAGGGGAAAGCCACTCACGAAATAATTGTAAATAATCGTATTGTTAGTTTTCTGGCTTTTTGGCAATCCTTCGGAGTTTTTTGCTCTCAAAGTTCCGTCGACACGCATGGGCGACATGTTCAGGAGTTCTTCTTCCTAGGATGATAGGTCGAAGTCTGCATAGGTGTCGTTGTGTTTAGCTTTTGTCTATTAGTCTTGATAATTACTGGTGCCCACGTTCGACTAATCTTCAGAGATTCTTCAGTCTTATTGAAGTTGTCTTTACGTTTCTACGTTTTTTCGATTGTAACACGGTACACTCCTGATGTTGCTCTCTGTGTTGCCTCTTTGTCCTTAGGTGATCTTAAGTGCTGTTGAATTTTCTGCTTGGTTTAAAAACTGTTCTTATGTCATGTCGTGCAAGGAAACGGCTGATCTTGTCAGTAAGGCCAGTGATGAACGACAGGAACGCTTTTTTCTTGGGATTTTCATCTGTTGATTTTTTTATTTATTTAATTGTTATCGTTTGTAGTGTAGATTTTAAATGGTTGAGTTCTTCACTCGGATTATCTAATTCGCAGATCCGTCTGGCGCGTTCGCGTAAGGTTTTAATGGTACCTATCGTCTGACACGGACGGTAGTTTGAGGTCTTGTGTAGGTATCGGCTGGTATGCGTGGCCTTTCGGTATGCGGAATGTCCAAGCCTGTTTTCTCGCCTGGTGACGCTTACATTCAGGAATGGTAGTACATTGTTTTCCTCTGTTTACGTTGTGAATGTAATGTTTGGATGTAGCGAGTGTAGATATTTCAGAAATTCTTGTGGTTTTGCATCCCTGTGATTCCAAATTACAAATGTGTCGTCCACATATCGTAGCCACAGTTTTGGTTTGTAGGGAGCAGATTCCAACGCCCCTTCTCCGAAATTTNGTAACAGGGTTACCTCGTTCAGGGACTGAAAAGAAATTAAAACTAAAGACACAAATTAAATTAGAGTAAACAACGATTCCAACAATGTTGGAAATCATAATCGTACAGCTCCATGTTTCTATTTGCTTCTGGTTCCTAAAACATACTTTCAAACATGTCCTTGTACATGCACAAAGGCACATTACTTCTGGTGCTTATAGACCTGGTGTCTCTGCGGACACTAGCCTTCTTCCTATTAGCACCAACACCAAAATCAAAACGCCAACATGCATAATAGGTAGGAATTTATCTTCGACGTGCTATTTTTTTATCCTCCTCGTCCCGATCATCTAAACTGTAATTGTACAATTCGGATCACGGATCTATTCTATTTGCTTCCTGTTCCTAAAACATACTCTCAAACGTGTACCTGTACATGCCCGAAGGCACATTTTACCCATTCTGTTTATTGACCTGGTGTCTCTGCGGACACTAATCTTCTTCCTATTAACACTAACACCAATCCGCATTTCACTCGATCCGAAAACGACACGAAAAATGGAAAGGGAAAGCCACTAATGAAATAATCGTATATAGTGGGTTTCACTTGTCATTGCGCTAAAAGTCCCATTGGGATGGATCGCAAATACCGCAAAAAATTGACCCTCCGCCAAGTTTGTATTGAAGTGAGCAGACTGTTGCCTCCAAGACTGATACCTATCATTATGATTTTCTAACGAAGAAGAGTGGAGATAACGAAGTCGAGACAACAGAACCACGACAATATTAAAAGGAGATATTTATGGTTTTCAAGAGGATGGAGAATAAATGTTTTCATCAAACAACGAACACCCCAACTAAACAATAACGTGACGGATACACTTCGATCGCGATGTTAACGATATGTGTGATCATGTTTGGTTGTTTTAATCGATCGATGTTCTTCTTTCTCTTCCCAAGCGAGAAGAGAAAGATTGACCCACGGAAACCTGAAAAAGAAAATAGGTAAAATTGTTAGTATCATCGTTTAAAAAGATATTTGGTTGGATGTAAAGTACTTCACTTACCGGTCATGCTGAAACAGAATCGAAGATACAAGATTAGTAAAAGGTAAAACATATAATATATTATTGATACCCCACCCACTGATAGGGTGGTAGTACGTACTTACTTCATTACCAACATACTTATATTCCCACTCCTTGATTTTAAGCTTAACGAAATTTATGTAGGCACCCAGTGATAAAATTCGAAAGTTATGTATTTCTAATTTGTGACATGTATATTTGCTTTGAAAGAACTAAGATTTTAGATGTGCAGCAGTAAAATAAATGAAATTTTGTAATTGAAAAAAAACATTAAAACGACAAAATGTAAATTGAGAATGGAATATGAAAAGAAACCTTGTTAAGTTAAAAAAGTTAAGTTTGTGTGTGTGTGTAAATGTGGCAACAGTGGCGTAATTCGTGTTGGACGAGAACGACATTATGTAATAGTCGAAATTGTGGTAAACCGATCGCTTTTTAATACTACGATGAATGAAAAAGAAACCTTGCTTGATTTATAATATGTTTCACTAATTTATTTTTTAGATTTCACTCTAAAATATCCTTCGGCTATAATGCCATCGTCAAAGTGCTAATAACTCCAGTTGAGAATATTAACTCTTTGATGATATCATTACAGCCGAAATGCACGTTAGAGTAAAATCCATAAAAGTGTTTCTTTTTTATTCATTATAGAAATTAAGTACATACCTAAATTAAAAATTAGTAATCACTCCTACATGCCCATTGGACGAACGCTTATTTTATTACCTAGCTACCTACTCGAACGCAAAAAATAAACAGTAAATTTGGAAAATAGTACAATTAACATTTAATTATGGCAATTGAATTGAAGTTAAAAATTAAAAATTAAATCAAAAAACTTGGGACTTTCACTTAAAACTTTATTAAAACCTCGATACGTATCTTCAGGAGTAACAAAAACTATACTAATTAACAAACAGGAAATAAATTAATTTATAGAGATTTATTCCTAAGAGGGTGGGTGGGGGTTGAACAATGTTTGGGTCTAATATATAAATTAATTTATTTACTGTTTGTTAATTAGTATGGTTTTTGTTACTCCTTTTTTGACTTAATTTTTAATTTTCAATCATGTTTCACCAAGTGATAACGGCAGATACCCTGAATTGAAGTTTTAAAAATTTACTAAATTAAGGAGAAGATGAATAATACGATTTTTTCCTTTCGAAAAATTTTCACCTATATTTATGCGGTAGATGAGACGTTATTCATTTTCCCCTTAATTTCAAATTAAAATTTCACAAAATATCAAATGAGTTATTAAAAACGAACAATTTACTGGCAACATTAAAAATTTAATGAATTTAAATAAATTGGAATTGGCGCCAACCTTAAACCGATTCGCGAGCCGCCGCCACTGTTATGCCAGAAGAAGGTATAGGTAATGCACTATACCTTGACGCGCAACACTTTTCGCTGTCTTCCTCCTTCCTCACTACACTATTGTAAATACACTAGCTGAAAAAATATCAAATAGACCCAATGAGTGACAAGTAAACATACACATAAAATAAAAGTGTAAATAATATTATTTATGGTATATGTAGGTGTACGTGGAACCAAACCCCGAAAAGACAGCGTGGACAAAACACCATGTATGTAGGTATGCATTGAAATAAGGTAATCACAATTTTAAATGTTCTCCGTGTCCTAACGTCACATCCCTAAAAAGCAACAATAAATACGGTAGGTAGGTATGTCTTGTAGATAATAATACGGCGTAAAGGACCTAAGGCAGCAACTAATAATCACATAAGTAATCCAAGTATTAAGAATCAAAGTTTGACGTAATACAGGCGCCGTGCCTGCACACGTCGGTCCCTAGCACGCGGAGCGACTCAATTGGATAATATGGCAATGGACCACCAGAGGAGCCCAATAATACGCTAACTTACCGTTTGTAAGCCACCTTATTGGGTGCAAAAATCAAATTAGCCCCAAAGTAATAAAAATCAAAAAATACAAATACAAATGGAAATATAAAAACTTGCACTCGGGTCTATTTGAAACAATATTCATTAGTGACTTACTTTTAGGCGTCGGCTAGACCTTACTAGGGTTCACCGAAACCTTAATCTATCCAGCGTCGGATGTCCACGATCCTCATCCTCTCCGTGATGAAACGTCGTTGATGGGTAGGAAGGTGCCAGAGACTGGGTGGAGTGGAAATCCATCGAGCAAACTATTCTATCGCTGTTACTATCACATACCAAATCTTCACGAATATAACAACATTCAAGTAGGTGCACTTATGATTCGAATGCATAACAACTCCGTCATTGGATTATCTTCTTGCTGATCTTCAAGAATAGATGCAACTGCAGCTCTGAAATGAATAAACGAATTCTAGGAAACAAAGACAAAGAAACCCTTCAATAATACATATATTAGAAACATATATACGTCTTTACAACTATTTTCGATAAATAGGTAATTAAGTTCTGTATGTTTGAAAATGTAGTGGAACCTGCACGTGATTTTGAACACCCTGTATCTTAAGTGAAGCCAGTGGCCCCTATGTATTACTAGTGTCACTTGATTCAAGCTGCGAGGAAGATCGCGCAACCTGCAGGTGACCAACCACGTCAGATGGCGTTGATTCAGCTGTATCCCCAAAACAGGCCCCTACATTACTGTAGATCGTGGATGACACACCACCTTAGAAAGGGGAAATCGATGGAGTGAGTCATGGTAGTTTGTGTACGTGCTGAAGTGTATAATGTCGTGTGTTACGTCACGAAATGTTTGTAAGTACCAAATACAATGTCAAATGTTCGAAAATCAGTTTTCACAGCTTTTGTAAGTATATTCATTTGATTTACTTTGCCTAAAAACTGATTTCTAGTATTAAAAATGTTCTTGAGGAATGTGGGCGTTGTTCTATTGTGTGTTCCCCATAAAGTTAATAATAATACAATTTTAGTTAATAATGGATGGAATTTGTCTACACACCACGACTGGAACCATCTGGGAATGTGGGCCATGGACGCTGTGGAGAGATTTTAAAAACAAGTGATGTTCGAATGTGGCTTTTTTTTTAAGGTAAGTGTGTGTCGCATTCGATTATGAATGATATGCATAGATAAAAGCCAATGTTTATCACAGGTTTTATTTTGTTATTAGGTAATTTAATGTTGAAATTCCCTACCATTAAGTTTACCTAAATAGATACTTATAGCATTGGATTAAAATTTAAATTATTTATGTTATTAATAGAAGGTGTGAAATTTATTGCAGGTCCACTAATTTTAAAAACACACATTAAATTCCCTTGTAGTAATCAATCCTGTAAAAAATAAGGCCTGGCCAGACATCATGGAAAAAATTAGTGCTAATTATTACATTTCAATTTAAAAAGTAAAGCAGTTTGTGTCACATTAACTCCAGTCGTTAATTTTCCATAATGGAATGATCAAAGGGAAAAAAAACACAATTTGCTCTGTTATGTTCTTGATAAAATAATCAAAATAACAGCAGCAAATTATTATTATTATTAAAATCAATGCACATACGAAGAGCGCTAAATCTGTGTTCTCTTTTCCAGATGGCAAACATCCAGAGCACTAACTGCTCGAAACAACCCCCCGATTAAGATGATTGCAAACCGATAGCAAAAAAGGCCAACAGTTGTACTTGTGGTAAACCAATGAATTAAAATCAATTTAGAAAAGCAAGAGGCTTTCTAAATTGATAATAACTTGCTAAGTTTAATTAATGAAGGTTTCGCTTCCTTCGCATTTTATTTAATGCAGTTATGATTATTCATTTGTTTTAAGATAAAAAATAAACAAATGAAAGTATCATAAAACAAGTGACTATCAGAAACATTTCAATAAGCAATTCAATTTTTTTATTCCAAAAAACAACCAATTAATTAAGTTCAAAGCAATCCTACCTTTCAATTCAAGTCGAACCTGCCCATGCTGGTCGAAAAGCTTTTCTTCTCCAAAAAAATCACACAGGTTTGCAAAGATCACTCCAATGTTATTAAAATGGTTCAGCCAGTGTAATAGAACAATTTAGTAATAGCAAAAAAGGGCCCCAAACAGCTATCAATTTTCTAGTTTTTTCGAAAAGCCATTTTCTGCAAAAAAGTACGAAAATGATTTAATTCGGCTCATATTATCGTAAACAGTCGATTGTTTAATGAATTCCGCCGAATCATACGGAATTATCGTATTTTTTTAAAAGAACAATTAAAAAATAGTTCTTTGTTAACTTGAGGTGGTACTAACAAAATACCAAGAAAAATAATTAATGGCCGCAAAAACTAATACGCACATCGTATTCTGCTATATTTAATTATAAGATTTCGACAATTGCATTAGTTCCAGCAAAAATTTTTAATGAAAAAACTAATTTCTTTCTTACTAAATAAGACACTTCGCGGAATCGTAATATTGTAATGGCGCACACGTTAGGAAGTGCCAACTGCATGCTGCAGGTTGCACCAGTAATTTCAACACCCGCAGTTTCTATGATTCTTGGTACTAAATAAAACTTTTTTTGCAAAAAATACAAAAACGTCTTAATTCCCGTTAAATTATCGTAAAACATCGATTATTTAACAATTTCGGCCGAATCATACGAAGTAATCGTATTTTTTATCAAAAAAAGCAGTACAGAAATAGCGCATTGTTACATTGAGGAGGTACTATCAAAATACCAAGAAAAATAATCAATGGCCGCAAAAACTAATACGCACATCGTATTCTGCTATATTTAGTTATAAGATTTCGACAATTGTATTAGTTCCAGCAGAAATTTTTAATCAAGAAACTTTAATTTCTTACCTAAGATAAGCAGAGACCACGCATCTCGGTCATTGTTGAGCGAAAAATGGCTGCTGCCAACTACAGGCAGAAACCGAGACTGCGTAGTTCTAAGCCGTCTTAGTTATATGTATGGCTGCTTTTTAAGTAAAAATTGACGAACGCATATTTTGTTTCGCAGCTAATGTTTTACAATTTAGAAACATTTGAAGTAAATGAAAATTAATTTATTTATTAAATGCTTTTCGAGCGACTTGATTGGTTTTAAATTAAGAGCAAAGTCAAATAATCCAAATACTTAGTAATTAATAAAAAATTATTTTAAGACAATTTAAAACGTTTAGCAATTAATTGTAAATGTTTCAACATAGAAATGGATAATGTTTGTTCTATTGTGTATTGGATGATGTACAGGGTGTACACTATTTGATGCACAAAAGAACAAAGTGTATTTATGTAGAAATATAAACAATTTTTTGTTTAACGTTTAAAATGTGTAAAAGTTACTTTTATCGTTTAGTTTTTGTACGAAACCACTCAAACGGTCTTAGTAGACAATTAATANCACTACAAGCGAATGATTACACAAAACGAGAAATAAGAGCAAGGAATAAACATCAACAGATGAAAATCCCAAGAAAAAAGCCTTCCTGCCGTTCATCTTAGGTCTTACTGACATGATCAGCCGTCTCCTTGTACGACATAACATAAGAACAATTTTCAAACCAAGCAGGAAAATTCAACAACACTTAAGATCACCTAAGGACAAACAGGATCCACTAGCAACGTCAGACGCGTACCGTGTCCCATACTCGTATGGGTCTGTCTATATTGGAACAACTAAACGGTCGGACGCCACATCCTCCCCGTTGGGATTGATTGACCTGGTATCTCTGCGAAGACTAATATTCCTCCTATTAACACTAACACCTCCACACCCACCAACGCATTCACCCGATCCGGAAACGACACGAAAAATAAAAAGGGAAATCCACTAACGAAATAATTTAATAATAATAGGTTTCACTTGTCATTGCGCTAGAAGTCCCATTAGGTTTGACCTTGTATCTTCACGGACACACACCAATCTTCCTCCTATTATTCTAACAAACATAATAGATAGAAATTTATCTTCAACGTTCTATTTTTCTTATCCTTTACAACCCCTCAACATATTCTCTCATACCTCCACGTTCGATTCTGGAACAAAAGGTTGCAATTAGAAGGAATTTAGAACACCCGCCGGTAGGTGAAAAGGTAGTCTTGTCTTTCTCATCATTCCTCGTCCCTTCCTACTCATCGACATAAACCTGGTCATCTTCCAAACTGCTGGAGACACTTCTGGGACGGTAGTGGTGGTGGTATACGTGGAACTTATAGATCAATGGTTTTCTTGATAACTTTACATTTTAGAACCCTGACAAACACGACGCAATTATGAACAAAAGTTCAGAATAGTGAAATATTCCACCGTACCTAAATCACCAACTCCTCCTAGTGCGTTGAGACCCTCCACCACCCCCGCAAACTCATCAACTGTTTTGCGGGCCTCAACATGTCTTTCGTACCTGTGAAATGGATGCTTAGACAAAAGGTTAGTTAAAAAGAATTAAAAACACCCAGTGGGTGAAGCAAGCAACCAAACGGCTTAAGGCGTCCCACCGGCTGTAAACCAACCGGTTTTGGTTTGTTGATGTCCTCTCTAACATCCCTGTAATCTTTTGAACGGTTTATTTGTCGATTATTTCGACATTTCGGACCCTAACAAAGAAAATGAAATTATGACGAACAAACAATAAAATATTCCATGCTCCGGTAGGAACTGCCCGTTGTTGGCTATGACCCTCCATCACCCCCGCAATTCCATAATACCCTTGCAGTCCTCAACTTGCGTAGTAGGTACCATGTTTTTTTACTTTTTACTTTATCACCAAATATAAACCATATACCTATGTACCATGTTTCTGAAATACTTTAAACAGCTCAAACCCTAACGCCAACATATGATGATTAGCGTCCGAAGGACTATTCGGTAACAGGGTTACCTCGTTCAGGGACTGAAAAGAAATTAAAACTAAAGACACAAATTAAATTAGAGTAAACAACGATTCCAACAATGTTGGAAATCATAATCGTACAGCTCCATGTTTCTATTTGCTTCTGGTTCCTAAAACATACTTTCAAACATGTCCTTGTACATGCACAAAGGCACATTACTTCTGGTGCTTATAGACCTGGTGTCTCTGCGGACACTAGCCTTCTTCCTATTAGCACCAACACCAAAATCAAAACGCCAACATGCATAATAGGTAGGAATTTATCTTCGACGTGCTATTTTTTTATCCTCCTCGTCCCGATCATCTATGTAAACTGTAATTGTACAATTCGGATCACGGATCTATTCTATTTGCTTCCTGTTCCTAAAACATACTCTCAAACGTGTACCTGTACATGCCCGAAGGCACATTTTACCCATTCTGTTTATTGACCTGGTGTCTCTGCGGACACTAATCTTCTTCCTATTAACACTAACACCAATCCGCATTTCACTCGATCCGAAAACGACACGAAAAATGGAAAGGGAAAGCCACTAATGAAATAATCGTATATAGTGGGTTTCACTTGTCATTGCGCTAAAAGTCCCATTGGGATGGATCGCAAATACCGCAAAAAATTGACCCTCCGCCAAGTTTGTATTGAAGTGAGCAGACTGTTGCCTCCAAGACTGATACCTATCATTATGATTTTCTAACGAAGAAGAGTGGAGATAACGAAGTCGAGACAACAGAACCACGACAATATTAAAAGGAGATATTTATGGTTTTCAAGAGGATGGAGAATAAATGTTTTCATCAAACAACGAACACCCCAACTAAACAATAACGTGACGGATACACTTCGATCGCGATGTTAACGATATGTGTGATCATGTTTGGTTGTTTTAATCGATCGATGTTCTTCTTTCTCTTCCCAAGCGAGAAGAGAAAGATTGACCCACGGAAACCTGAAAAAGAAAATAGGTAAAATTGTTAGTATCATCGTTTAAAAAGATATTTGGTTGGATGTAAAGTACTTCACTTACCGGTCATGCTGAAACAGAATCGAAGATACAAGATTAGTAAAAGGTAAAACATATAATATATTATTGATACCCCACCCACTGATAGGGTGGTAGTACGTACTTACTTCATTACCAACATACTTATATTCCCACTCCTTGATTTTAAGCTTAACGAAATTTATGTAGGCACCCAGTGATAAAATTCGAAAGTTATGTATTTCTAATTTGTGACATGTATATTTGCTTTGAAAGAACTAAGATTTTAGATGTGCAGCAGTAAAATAAATGAAATTTCGTAATTGAAAAAAAACATTAAAACGACAAAATGTAAATTGAGAATGGAATATGAAAAGAAATCCTGTGTGCCGTTAAGCATTGTAAATGTGGTGGCAACAGTGGCGTAATTCGTGTTGGACGAGAACGACATTATGTAATAGTCGAAATTGTGGTAAGCCGAAGACGATCGCTTTTTAATACTATGAATGAATACGATGAATAAAAAAGAAACCTTGCTTGCTTGGTTTATATGTTTCACTAAATTATTTTTTAGATTTCACTCTAAAATATCCATCGTCAAAGTGCTAATAACTCCAGTTGAGAATATTAACTCTTTGATGATATCATTACAGCCGAAATACACGTTAGAGTAAAATCCATAAAAGTGTTTCTTTTTTATTCATCATCATAGAAATCAAGTACCTAAATTAAAAATTAGTAATCACTCCTACATGCCCATTGGACGAACGCTTATTACCTGGCTGGCTACCTGTAGGTAGGTACTCGAGCGCAAAAGAAAAAAATAAATAGTAAATTTGGAAAATAGTACCTACAATTAACATTTAATTATGGCAATTGAATTGAAGTTAAAAATTAAAAATTAAATCAAAAAACTTGGGACTTTCACTTAAAACTTTATTAAAACCTCGATACGTATCTTCAGGAGTAACAAAAACTATACTAATTAACAAACAGGAAATAAATTAATTTATAGAGATTTATTCCTAAGAGGGTGGGTGGGGGTTGAACAATGTTTNGACCCTCCACCACCCCCGCAAACTCATCAACTGTTTTGCGGGCCTCAACACGTTCTCTCAAAATTCCACGTTCGATTCTGGAACAAGAAGTTGCAATTGGAAGGAATTAAGAACACCCGGCGGTGGATGAAGAAAGTAGTCTTACCTTTCTCATAATTCTTCCTATTCACTGAAATAAACCTGATCATCTTCCAATCTGCTGGAGACACTCCTGGGACGCTAGTGGTAATGGCGCACATGGGACTCATAAATCAACGGTTCTCTTGATAACTTTACATTTTAGAGCCCTGACAAACACGACGCAATTATCAACAAAAGTTCAAAGCAGCGAAATATTCCACCGTACCTACATCCCTAACTCCTCCTGGTTGGTTGAGAACCCCCCACCACCCCCGCAAACTTATCAACTGTTTTGCGGGCCTCAACACGTTCTCTCAAAATTCCACGTTCGATTCTGGAAGAAGAGGATGCAATTAGAAAGAATTAGGAACGCGCGCCGGTGAATGAAGAAGGTAGTATTACCTTTCTCATAATTCTTGCCGTTCATTGAAGTAAACCTGATCATCCTCCCAACTGGTGGAGACACTCCTGCGACGGTAGTGGTAATGGCATACACGGGACTTACAAATCGATGGTTCTCTTGATAGCTTTACATTTTAAAAGCCTTAAAAAAACACGACGCAATTATGAACAAAAGTTCAGAGTAGTGAAATATTCCACCGCACCAACATCCCTAACTCCTCCTGGTTGGTTGAGGGCCCCCCACCACCCCCGCAAACTCATCAACTGTTCTGCGGGCCTCAAAATGTCTTTTCATACCACTGAAGTGAATGCTAAGAGAAAAGGTTCAATTAATAAGAATTAAAAACACCCAATGGGGGAACGAGGCATCCAAACTGTTTGTGGCGTTTCAAGGGCGCTAAAAGTACCTTTGAGATTGACCTGGTGTATCTGCGGATACTAATCTTCTTCCTATTAACACTAATCCTTCCATACCCACCAACGCATTTCACTGGACCCGAAAACGATACGAAAAATGAAAGAGGAAAGTCACTCACGAAATAAATGTATATAATAGTATTGTCGGTTTTCGGGCTTTTTGGCAATCCTTCGGAGTTTTTTGCTCTCAAAGTTCCGTCGACACGCATGGGCGACATGTTCAGGAGTTCTTCTTCCTAGGATGATAGGTCGAAGTCTGCATAGGTGTCGTTGTGTTTAGCTTTTGTCTATTAGTCTTGATAATTACTGGTGCCCACGTTCGACTAATCTTCAGAGATTCTTCAGTCTTATTGAAGTTGTCTTTACGTTTCTACGTTTTTTCGATTGTAACACGGTACACTCCTGATGTTGCTCTCTGTGTTGCCTCTTTGTCCTTAGGTGATCTTAAGTGCTGTTGAATTTTCTGCTTGGTTTAAAAACTGTTCTTATGTCATGTCGTGCAAGGAAACGGCTGATCTTGTCAGTAAGGCCAGTGATGAACGACAGGAACGCTTTTTTCTTGGGATTTTCATCTGTTGATTTTTTTATTTATTTAATTGTTATCGTTTGTAGTGTAGATTTTAAATGGTTGAGTTCTTCACTCGGATTATCTAATTCGCAGATCCGTCTGGCGCGTTCGCGTAAGGTTTTAATGGTACCTATCGTCTGACACGGACGGTAGTTTGAGGTCTTGTGTAGGTATCGGCTGGTATGCGTGGCCTTTCGGTATGCGGAATGTCCAAGCCTGTTTTCTCGCCTGGTGACGCTTACATTCAGGAATGGTAGTACATTGTTTTCCTCTGTTTACGTTGTGAATGTAATGTTTGGATGTAGCGAGTGTAGATATTTCAGAAATTCTTGTGGTTTTGCATCCCTGTGATTCCAAATTACAAATGTGTCGTCCACATATCGTAGCCACAGTTTTGGTTTGTAGGGAGCAGATTCCAACGCCCCTTCTCCGAAATTTTCCGTGAATAGGTTAGCAACCACAGGGCATAACGGATTACCCATTGTCACAGTTTCTATTTGTTCGAAGATGTTGCCGATGAAGGAAAAACATGTTGTCGTTAGGCAAATCTCAAATGATACGTACATATATGTCATTGGGGAACATGCTGTTGATGATTTCATTGTGTCCTTCAATGGCACTTTCGTGAACAAGGACACAACGTCGAACGTTACCAGTCTGTATTCTTTTGGTTAGGCCCTTAGTCCTTTATTCGACTGGCAAAATGTGTACATAAAGGACTCGGCACACTTTGTCAGCCGAATAAAGGTCAGATCTTAACAAGAGAAGACAGATTGGTAAGTTTCGACGTTGTATCCTTGTTCACGAAAGTGCCATAGAAGGACACAATGAAATCATCAACAACATGTTCCTCAATGGCATTTATGTGTTATTTGAGACTTGTCTAATGGCAAACTAATTTTTTCTTCAACCGCAACATCTTCGAACAAATAGAAAGTGTGACAATGGGTAATCCGTTACGCCCTGTAGTTGCTAACATATTCATGGAATAATTCGGAAAAGGGGCGTTGGAATCTGCTCCCTACAAACCAAAATTGTAGCTACGATATGTGGACGACACGTTTGTAATTTGGAACCACAGGGACACAAAACCACAAGAATTTCTGAAATACCTATACCACCTACATCCAAACATTAAATTCACAATGGAAACAGAGACAAACAATGTACTATCATTCCTGAATGTAAGCGTCACCAGGCGAGAAAACAGGCTTGGATATTCCTTATACCGAAAGGCCACGCATACCACCCGATACCTACACAAGACCTCAAACCACCGTCCGTGTCAGACGATAGGTACCATAAAAACCTTACGCGAACGCGCCAGACGGATCAGCGAACCAGATAATCTGAGTGAAGAACTCAACCCTTTAGAATCTACACTACAAGCGAATGGTTACACAAAACGAAAAATAAGAGGTGTTTTGATAATAACAAGTAATAAACATCAACAGATGAAAAGAAACTCCCAAGAAAAAAGCCTTTTTGCCTTTCATCCCAGGCCTTAGTGACATGATCAGCCGTTTCCTTGCACGACATGACATAAGAACAATTTTCAAACCAAGCAGGAAAATTCAACAACACTTAAGATCACCTAAGTTAAACAGGATACACTAGTAACGCCAGATGTGTACCGTGTCCCATACTCGTGTGGGTCTGTCTACATTGGAACTACCTACTAAAATGTCCGACGCCACATCCTCCCCGTTGGGATTGATTGACCTGGTATCTCTGCGAAGACTAATCTTCCTCCTGGTAACACTAACACCTGCACACCCACCAACGCATTTCACTCGATCCGGAAGCGTCACGAAAAATGAAAAGAGAAAGCCACTCAACAACAAATAATTTAATAATAATAGGTTTCACTTGTCATTGCGCTAGAAGTCCCGTTAGGATTGACCTGGTATCTTTGCGGACACTAATCTTCCTCCTATAATAACTAACACCAAAACCAAAACCTCAACAAACATAATGGATTGAAATTTATCTGCAACGTTCTGTTTTTCTTATCCTATACAACCCCCGCAAACTCATCAACTGTTTCGCAACCGTCAACATATTCTCTCCTACCTCCACGTTCGATTCTGGAATAAAAGGTTGCAATTAGAAAGAATTGGGAACACCCGCCGGTGGGTGAAGAAGGTAGTCTTGTCTTTCTCATTATCCCTCGTCCCTTGCTACTCATCGAAATAAACCTGATCATCTTCCAAACTGCTGGAGACACTTCTGGGACGGTAGTGGTGGTGGTAATGGTATACATGGAACTTATAGATCAATGGTTTTCTTGATAACTTTACATTTTAGAACCCTGACAAACACGACGCAATTATGAACAAAAGTTCCGAATAGTGAAATATTTCACCGTACCTACATCACCAACGCCTCTTGGTTGGTTGAGAACCCCCCACCACCNAAAAGAAATACATAAATAAAAAACACAGAAAGTCCTTTATTTCATATAATACAATCATCATCATGATAATACAATAATAAAACAAAAATCATAACAATAATACAATAATAAAACAAAAATCATAACAATAGTAGCTATCTCGATGATCATTTTTCCTCAATTAATGTATTTGTCTTTAATTAAGTTGCTCGATAAGAATGAGAATTAAGTTGCTCGATAAGAATGAGATATGTTTATATCAGTATGTGTGCTTTCATAAAAAAAATAACTTAAAACAAATGACCAAAAGAACACAACCTTCCATGAACCTTTCAAAATGTGCAGCATATCTCATTCTAAATTGGAATGTCTGAGGATCTCGAGGAAGGTGAGTTGTTTTGGTCAATTGTTTTAAGTAAGTTAATGTTGCAATTAGATACAACTGCTCATTGAGCAGTTTCACTTGTTAATAACTTCAAGAGGAAATTATTAACAAGTGAATGTTCAAAATCAAACGCAAAAGACACTAAAATTCTCTTTTTACTTTCTAGATCGCAAAGATATGCTTCACAGTACTGTATGTGCTACAAACCAGCCCAACCAAGAGGATTGTTAACCAATTGGAGAGAAGACCAACACTTACAGCTAATGGTAAATAAAACCAATCAATTATGATCGATTTAGAAAAGCAAGAGACTTAGCAAATCGATAATAACTGGCTCAGTTTCGTATGTTGGAAGTTTGGCTTCTTTCAAAGTTTATTTAAGGCAATGTGATTGTTCATTTGTTTAAAGACAAAAAAGGTCAAAAACAAATGAATTATTATAAAACAAGTGACAACCAGAAACATTTCAATAAACAATTCAATTATTTCGCTGCTACAAACCCATCAGACAAATTCAAGCAATCCTACCTTTTGCAGAACATGTCCATTTGTCCATGTTGTTCGAAGAGCTTATTTTCACCATAAAAGCCCTCTGCTATCATCCAAAATTATTAAATTGATTTAACCAATGTAGTAGAACGATTTAATGATATTAAAGCTGGGGGCCCAAGCTATCATTACTTTTTTGATATCTTATAAAAACCATTTTCTGTAAAAATATACAAAAACGCCTTAATTCGCGTTAAATTATCGCAAAACAACGATTATTTAACAATTTCGGCCGAATCATACGAAATAATCGTATTTTTTATTAAAAAAGCAGTGTAGAAATAACGCATTGTTACATTGAGGTGGTACTATCAAAATACCAAGAAAAATAATTAATGGCCGCAAAAACTAATACGCACATCGTATTCTGCTATATTTAATTATTAGATTTCGACAATTGCATTAGTTCCAGCAGAAATTTTTAATCAAGAAACTTTAATTTCTTACCTAAGATAAGCATAGACCACGGATCTCGGTCATTGTTGAGCGAAAAATGGCTGCTGCCAACTACAGGCGAAAAGCGAGACTGCGTAGTTCTAAGCCGTCTTAGTTATATGTATGGCTGCTTTTTAAGTAAAAATTGACGAACGAATGTTTTGTTTCGCAGCTAATGTTTTACAATTTAGAAACATTTGAAGTAAATGAAAATTAATTTATTTATTAAATGCTTTTCGAGCGACTTGATTGGTTTTAAATTAAGAGCAAAGTCAAATAATCCAAATACTTAGTAATTAATAAAAAATTATTTTAAGACAATTTAAAACGTTTAGCAATTAATTGTAAATGTTTCAACATAGAAATGGATAATGTTTGTTCTATTGTGTATTGGATGATGTACAGGGTGTACACTATTTGATGCACAAAAGAACAAAGTGTATTTATGTAGAAATATAAACAATTTTTTGTTTAACGTTTAAAATGTGTAAAAGTTACTTTTATCGTTTAGTTTTTGTACGAAACCACTCAAACGGTCTTAGTAGACAATTAATAGATAAATTAATTGGACTTTCTAATTTTTTTTTGGCGTAGGCAGTGAAAGCCTTAACTTAAATTTTGATTTCTTTAAATCGAGTTTTTATTTCAGGTGAACTATGGTAAAATGATTGCCCTTTAAATACTCTTTGCCAGTAGAAAATTGCCCCCGCTGTATCTTATGTATTACTTAAACATTTTAAAAGAAATAGTATTAAAACAAGATACTGTGATTATTTAAAAACACTTTTTTCTCGTTTAATACTATTTTTTGTCAAAATGCTTAAACAATTAACATCTTGTTACTGCTTTGGCAATTTTATATTCGAAAAGGCCATTCAAAGGGCAATCACTTTAACCTGCTACACCTCATTGAAGAAAACGATTTAAATGATTAAAAATTTCCCCTTAGTCTTAACACTATTTAATAAAAAGTTAATTAATTAATACAAATGTGTGAACTACCAAAGGACCAACCAAGTGGGCAAGTCAGAATCAATTAAGAAGAACAACAGAGGCTTTCTTAATTTTCAGTTGTTCCCTTTATTGTTTAAAAAATAAAAGAGGATCCACCATTGGAAGTCACTTGTTTTATACATAATAGAGGAAAACAACCGCTATCATTCCATTAAATGTTTCGCAAAAGAAATACATAAATAAAAAACACAGAAAGTCCTTTATTTCATATAATACAATCATCATCATGATAATACAATAATAAAACAAAAATCATAACAATAGTAGCTATCTCGATGATCATTTTTCCTCAATTAATGTATTTGTCTTTAATTAAGTTGCTCGATAAGAATGAGACATGTTTATATCTGTATGTGTGCTTTCATAAAAAAATTAACAAATGACCAAAAGAACACAACCTTCCTTGAACCTTTCAAAATATGCAGCATATCTCATTCTAAATTGAAATTTTGGAGGATTTCGAAGAAGGTGAGTGGTTTTGGTCAGTTGTCTTAAGTAAGTTAAAGTTGCGATTAGAAACAACTGCTCATTAAGCAGTTTCACTTGTTAATTACTTCAAGGGGAAATTATTAACAAGTGAATGTTCAAAACCAAACGCAAAAGATACTAAAACTCTTTTTACTTTCTAGGTTGCAAAGGTATGCTTCACAGTACAGTATGCTCTACAAACCACCCCAATCAAGACGATTGTTAATCGATTGGAGAGAAGACCAACACTTACAGCTGATGGTAAATAAAACCAATCAATTATGATCAATTTAGAAAAGCAAGAAGCTTAGCAAATCGATAATAACTGGTTTGGTTTCATTTGTTGGAAGTTTGGCTTCTTTCAAAGTTCATTTAACGCATTTCTGATTATTCATTTGTTTAAAGACAAAAAAGGTCAAAAACAAATGAATTATTATAAAACAAGTGACAACCAGAAACATTTTAATAATCAATTCAATTATTTCGCTGCTACAAAACCGTCAGACAAATTCAAGCAATCCTACCTTTCGCAGAACATGTCCATTTGTCCATGTTGTTCGAAGAGCCTATTTTCACCATAAAAGCCCTCTGCTATCATCCAAAATTATTAAATTGATTTAACCAATGTAGTAGAACGATTTAATGATATTAAAGCTGGGGGCCCAAGCCATCATTAATTTTTTGATATCTTATAAAAACCATTTTCTGTAAAAATATACGAAAACGTCTTAATTCGCGTTAAATTATCGTAGAACAACGATTATTTAACAATTTCGGCCGAATCATACGAAATAATCGTATTTTTATGAAAAACGCAGTATGGAAATAACGCATTGTTACATTGAGGTGGTACTATCAAAATACCAAGAAAAATAATTAATGGCCGCAAAAACTAATACGCACATCGTATTCTGCTATATTTAATTATAAGATTTCGACAATTGCATTAGTTCCAGCAGAAATTTTTAATCAAGAAACTTTAATTTCTTACCTAAGACAAACAAGGTCTGCGTAACCCGGCCATTGTCAAGTGAAAAATGGCTGCTGCCAGTTATACACGAAGACCAACAACTACGTATTTCTAAGCCGTCTTAGTTAAATGTATAGTTGTTTTTAAGTAAAAATTGAAGAACTCATAATATTTTGCTTCGAAATCAATATTTTAACATTTAGGTTGAATGAAATAAATAAAATAAGCCCTTAATGCTTTTCAGGGGGTGCTTGATTCATTTGAAAAATAAAACCGAATAATTCAAAAGTGTAATAGTAGATAAATATTGGCCTATTAAGTATTGGTATACAGGGCATACACGATTTGATGCACAATAGAACAAAATTTATTTGCAATTATATGCCAGTAAAAGAGACATACTAATTGTGTCTATTATTTGAGAATAAAGAACCCTTTTAAGTGCACCTATCATTAATTGTTACACCCTGTATTTCAATAGTGCATCGTCGTAACTTAAAAATTAAATTAAATTTTCTCCTTCATACCATTACCAAAATTGTCCACAATCAGAATGAGAATAAGAAAGTAGAAGAAAATAGAATTTTGATTGTTTGCAACATGTACCTATTAACTCCCTAATTCTCTGTCATCCCATTCTTTATATATAAGTCTATGTTGGCACAAAATGGCCACCGCATATTGAAAATCTTCAACATTTTAATTATATCTAACAATAGAAAATATAATAACAGCAAACCAAAATTACTAACCTCGTGTAGTAAGTGACCTTCTTAAAATGGTTCGCAATGGTATTTATTATTACTTGTACTTTTTACAGAAATGAATGCGTTATTTCAAGAAAATGTGAACGTGAACCACACAAGACGATGCTATGGAAGCCAAAGATGGGAGAGAAGCGTTCAGACCAATCAGAAGCTCAAACGAAAACAAACGTCATTAGTTAATTTCTAAGCCTGCTTAGTTTTTGTTTTAAAGATTTTTATGTTTTTGTTTAAAAAGGCATATTTTTATATGTTTCAATAGGATTTGAAAACAATCTTTCTGGATTTTAGAAAATATTACATTACCTATGCCACATTGTGGCCTTTTTCAAGGAAATTGTAATGAAAGAAACCAATAAACTTTTGTGCAAAACGTTGGATTTTGCTTAATAAATAGTGATGTTTCTATCACCACAGTTTAGATTTCCATTTATTGTGCGAAATATTAGGGAGAATAGTGAAATTTGCCTAGGTATGCAAATAAGAATTCTGTGATTTGGTTTACGAGGGTGGATTGATAAGTTTCCGGCCTGACCAAGAAAAACAAGGTTTTTAAAAATTTTTTTTTTTTATTTCTCAACATAATCTCCTCCAAGGCTGATACATTTCTCATAGCGGTGTTCCAGTCTATTAATGCCATCTCTATAGACTGATTCGTCAAGCTCCTCAAAATAACCATTTACAGCTTCGATTACTTCTTCATTGTCCGCAAATCTCTTACCGCCAAGCCATTTTTTGAGATTAGGGAACAGAAAATAGTCACTCGGGGCTAGGTCTGGAGAGTAAGGAGGGTGCGGCATCAATTCAAACTTTAGATCGTTGATTTTAGCCGTCGCAACGATTGACGTGTGCGCTGGTGCGTTATCGTGATGAAACAAGATTTTTTTCTTCGCCAGATGAGGTCGTTTAATTTTCACCTCGTGGCTCAAACGTTGCAATAAGTCTGCGTAGTATTGACCAGTGATAGTATTACCCTTTGCAAGGTAATCAATGTATATAATACCTCTTGCATCCCAAAAAACAGTAGCCATAACCTTGTTCGCCGAAAAAATTGTTTTTGCCTTCTTTGGAGTTGGTTCCCCTGGTCCAATCCACTGTTTAGACTGTTCTTTGGTTTCAGGAGTGTAGTGGTGGACCCACGTTTCGTCAACGGTTACGAATCGACGCAAAAATTCGCTTGGATTACGCTTATACAATGACAAATTTGCGGTAGAAATGTTTTTTCGAATCAATTTTTGGTCGACTGTTAGCAAACGCGGCACCCATCTTGCACAGAGCTTTTCCATATGCAAATGTTGGTGCAAAATATGTTGCACACGTTCATATGACATCTTACAGGTCTCAGCTATCTCACGCACTTTCAATCTGCGGTCTCCCAGCACTATTTGATGAATTTTTTCGATCATATCTGGAGTTGTGACCTCAACGGGGCGTCCTGAGCGAGGCCCATCAGAGGTGCTCACACGACCCTTTTTAAACTCGGAAACCCACTGCTTAACGGTTGAATATGACGGGGAGGATGTCCCCAGTGTTGAGTCCATCTCTTTTTTAATTTCCTTCGGCGTTAACCCCTTCAAATAAAAGTATTTGATGACAGCACGATTTTCCTGCTTTTCCATTTTTACGAAAACCACAGAGGCGTCTTGTTCAGCGTGCTGTCAAACCTACACTAGCAAGGAGATCGGGCTGAAACTATAGCTACAAGCTATCCAAGGATGGTACTATAGAATGTCACCTCAAGGTAGGCCTAGTGGCGTCATCTCTTGGTTAGGCCGGAAACTTATCAATCCACCCTCGTACATAATACAAAATATGGAATTGTCTTACAGTACCGACTTATTAATGAAGTACGTATCTACTTAATTGGTTATCGATAATAATTCTTTTTAGAATTTGTTGTCAGTATGAAGTGTATATGTGTGTATATTTTTTTTTACAATAAAATAACTTCTTGAGGCATAGACGATCACGATTCCTTTTCTATTTTCATTTTATAGTGGGAACGTAGTACAAAATAGGAGTAGGCAGATACGTCACTGTCTAGTGGGTTGCATATATATGCTGTACCTAATAATAAGTTATTGTATTTTTAAGTGTTAATGTTTTAAAAATTGAAAATTCTAATAGAACAATATCCTATTAGTATCTAACGATAAGATAAGTAATTTAAGTCTACAAGTAGTGTATTCATTATGAATCTTTTTAACTGTCCTTATTGGGAAGTGGGAGTTAATTTTATGTGATGTTTATCCGTGACGGTATTTAAAGCAGATAAATAAAGAAAAAATGCTGTATAATATTTCAGAAAGGCTTAAATAGTAAACTCTACAACAATTGCTTAGACTGAATAGGTCTTTGTAAGAATGCATTTTTGTTTCACTCACGTTTATTTAAAAATATTTCGCGAGAAATTTTTAATTGATTCATCAATTCTTGGAATATTGTTCTTTTAATTATATCAAGCAAAAATTTAAAAAAATAATAAGAGCTACAATTATTTTTTAGTGAAATTCCGTCTTTTTAGTTCGAGTGGTTCTGAGTTCATAGCCACTGTAAGAATTTTTGGCACTCAATGGTAATGTAAGTTGTAGATGTTATCTATGATTGTAGAGAAGGAAAAGAATGCAACCCCTAACCTTAATGTTTTGATTAGTTTTATTAATGCATGTTTTATTTAAATATACCATAACTTTTTTAAATTTTCTTAAAATATTGCAAAAAGTGTCAGATAATGGCAGGATCAGCTTTAAGACGTTTAATGGCTGAATATAAACGTAATATTATTCCTTATCCATAATGACTTCATTATTTATTTATGTTTTAGAGTTAACATTAAATCCCCCAGAAGGAATTATAGCTGGCCCAGTAAACGAAGAAAATTTTTTTGAATGGGAGGCACTCATCACGTATATCTTTATGTTATTATTTCAAAATGAATCTAGCTATTTATTAAATCTTTTAGAGGTCCTGAAGGTACTTGTTTCGAAGGTGGAGTTTTTCCTGCAAAGTTAGTTTTTCCCCCAGATTATCCATTAAGTCCACCAAAAATGCAGTTTACATGCGAAATGTTTCATCCAAATAGTATGTTGGAGTAAAATTTTATAAGTTTGTACTTTTATATATCTATAAATATTTTTTATGTGCTTATTTAGTTTATTCAGATGGTAGAGTTTGTATTTCAATTTTACATGCTCCTGGGGATGACCCAATGGGTTATGAATCGAGTGCAGAACGATGGTCTCCAGTTCAAAGTGTGGAAAAGATTCTTCTGTCTGTTGTGAGCATGTTAGCGGGTAAGGACATAGTAAAAGAATATGAAATAGAAGTAAAACACTAAAACGCAAAATTCCACACAAATATCTTAAAAAAAATCTAAAATGCGTTTAAATATTGAAGATGTTATGTTTCAATTAATCTAATTGTACATTCAAAAGTTCATTCTATAGTTAAGATCCCTTTCTAATTTTGAAAATATACAATTTTAAATTGTTAAAGATATCCTAATTTACTCTCTGCACTAGGAGGTGGGGTTTGTAGGTCTTATTAATGAATCTAATAATTGTAGGGTAGAACAGCCTTTGCTTACATTTGTACTCTTTAGTAAATGTTTAATACCAAACAGAGAAAAAAGAGTTACATATTGTGTTGGCTTCATGAACCACCTAGCAGATATATTATTTTCTATAGTTGAAATTAGGGGTTGAATTTGTATTTAACTGAGTTTTGTGTTTTAGTGTTTCTTTCTATTTTCGGTAATGATTATAAGTTATTTTTATACTGCTTTCTATACTGGCGATTTGTTTAAATTTAGTGTAAGGGGATAAAATTTGAAAGAAATAAGAATAAAAAGTAGGTCCCACCGAGATTTGAACTCGGATCGCTGGATTCAAAGTCCAGAGTGCTAACCATTACACCATGGGACCTTACTGTAAGCTTTCGTTTTAGGAACAGCTGCTCAATGGATAATAACGTTTGTAACCATAGACGTAGTTAACTTTTATTATTAAATAATTATTATAGTATTTGTCTTTTTGTTGCAGAACCTAATGATGAAAGCGGTGCAAACGTCGATGCTGCAAAAATGTGGAGAGAAAATAGAGACGAATTCAATAAAATAGCTCAGAGAATTGTGAGAAGAACGTTAGGCATTCCCAATTGAATTATTCGATTTTATTAGGCACTTTTGTAATTGAAGAATTTATTTACTTATTGAAACTTTTACTGTTTTTCTCTAATAAGTAATAAAATTGCTATAATAAATGTTATTAACGGGGTTTGAAAATTTTTTGTTTATTTATTGAAATAAAGTGATTTAATTGCGTTCTTTTTAGTTTTTACTAACGTATGGCAGTCCTTCGTTAGTATTGTCCTTTTCGCAATTACATCTTTCCCTGGATACTGTATGGTAATTACTTTTTTAAATCGTTTTATATGACGTATCTACCTATAATTTCCTCTATTTTGCTATTTCATTTTTATTATTAGATAAAGATTGTTATTTTATTTGTGTGATTGTTATATTAATTTAATTTTCAACCGATTTTATTTTATTTGAAGGTAATTTAAACCCATTTAGATGAGTTTTAGAAAAGATTTTTTTTTAACTAGCAACATTCAAATTTTAAATTACTGTAACTAAAGTGTAAAGCTAAATTTTATTATGTCGCTCGCTCAATTTATTTATTTATAAGGATTGACGTTGTGCAATTTCATTGTGTTACGCCACTGGTTAAGATCTGATCACATTTAGTTGGCGAAATCTATTATTTGATATGTCACTAAAGTATAGAACTGACACCAGATGTCAGAAGTTACTGATATACGTGATATGTAGATTTCAGTTTCGTACGCCAGATGGCTAGCAGGGCCCGACTACCGAATTAATTATTTAATTTAATCAAAAATAAGCTGATTCATAAGAATAACAACACTCGATAGTATGTATTATGCATTTTATTTAGTTTGTAATTAATTTCTAGCCGGTTATCATTGTAGAATGTTAAATATTCAACTTTTATTATGTTTTACAATGTTCTCGTCAATAACAGGCTTTGCTACTTTTAATTAGATGCAATAATTACTTTTTATTAATTAATTAGTGTTTATTCAGTTTATTTGGATGTCCGTTTTCATAAACATTATTTATTTATTTGTTTTGTATTGGGTACCCATATTATTGTGGTCATTAAAAAAATATGGAAATCATTTTAACAAACACCTTAAATATTGTAATAGTTTTCTTAAATGTAACGTAATTGACAAAATATGTTTAACATTGTTATTAGATGTTGTTTTATGACCAGCACTTTGCATTTTTAAATATTCGGGAAATTGGTGTGCGTGTAAGATATGCGCAAAGTAACGCAGGCTCCTCGGAAAGAATCTTCCAAGATGGCTGACACTTGTTGGTCAATTTCGCTTTGACCGAGACTTTTCGAACGAAAACAGTGCCTTAAACCGTCGTAATTATTGTAAACGTGAACGTGAGTGAATGTGAAGTGATTATATTTTATTTACACAAAAAAAATTGTGCTCTGTAATAATGCATGATCGAGGAAATACGAAAAATGTGTGTTTTGGTTATCATTGTTTGTTCTGTTTGTGTTTATTCGTGTAGTTATTTAAAATATTGTGTACATAATGGATAACACAACGCCTACAATAAATGAAAGGTACCTACAATATTTTAGAGTTAATGGTCTTTTAAATTTATTTAAACATGTTAGCAAGTATAGCGCTAATTTGGATTATATACACAACGATTTATCTAGTCGCGTCGACCTATGTCATTGAAATTTTCTTTTTCTAATAATGCAAGAATTACGTACTCTAACATAACCGGTTTGTCCGAGATAACATCGTATGCCTGGTATTGTTTAGAATATTCAGTAGTTCATACACCAAGAATTTCTGTTGAGGCGTTGAAATGTGCTTTATTATTTAATTTATTGTTTATATTTCGCTATCTGATTGAAGACACAACATCCCTATCTGGTTTCGTGTTAACAGATTGAATTTAGGAAATGTTTTCTTTCGATACGCGTGTTATCACTGAGAAATTGCAAAAATTACAGTTGTTTATCGTACATCCTACCCAGGCATTTATAATTTGTACATGTCTATCTGATAAGAGAGCATCATTTTACACTTATTTCTTTGTTGAAGGTGCTTGGTATGTGGGTAGGTAGAAATTTTATGATTTCATATCTCGAAGGCATAATGCCTACATACCTACACATAGGTATACCATACAACAAGATAGTTACTGTTGAAACGCTATAATGACGGCTATGAATTATCTAAATATAAGTGTGTATTTAGGTAATTAAATGCAATTTGTCAAAATAGAAATTTAAACCCAAAAAATTTTTTTATGTTAATTTATCTGACGAATGATTGATGGATAAACTATTAGAAATTTAAAATGTAATCGGGACCTCAAGAGTTAAAGCAATTTGAGTAAGGGCTATGGATTTAGGGATTGGAGCTCTTTTGGTGATGGATTTACCATCTATAAACAGGCAATTATAAAAGAAGTAACATTAGTAATTGAATGGCTTCATCTAGTACTAAATCAGAGTTGGGCAAAGCCCCCACCAAAAGAGATCCAGGTCCTAAATCAAAAGCCTCTACTTAGAGTGCCCCTAAAGTCCCAATTAAATTTCAAATTACTAATTATTTCTAAAGTAATCAGATTCAAATCCCTAAGCATATTAAAAGAGCTTGAAACCCGCTAAGCTGGCGATACATTGAGCGTATTTTGAAATAGAAATGAGGCAGAGAAGTACTGTAGGGACTATATGATGGTACTTTATCCATATTATCGCTAGTCTATTGTCTAGCTGGCCAACGAAAAAGTACTGGAGAGTCTAAGCTGACACTGCATAGAGCATATCTCAAATAAGAATAACACCGAAATAGAAATAGCTCAGAGAAGTACTGTGAGGGCTACAAGATGGTACTTTACCCATATTGTCTCTACTCTATTGTCTATGTAGTGCCAGCTTAGCGGCTCTCCAGTAGTTTTTAAGATAGATTTTAGCGACAGTATGGGTCAAAGTACCATCTTTCAGTGATAAATTATAGCCCTTAAAATATTTCTTTAAAAATATGTTTGAGGAAATACTTCAGTGTCTTATCCCATTGCTCAGTAGAATATTGGCGAATAGTTATCGATCTATAATTAAGTTTTTGTACTAATTTTGTTCTTCGTCTATTCCAGGACTTGTAATAAAAACGTCAACGGTTCAGTGAGGCGGCCTCTTCCCGTTCACGGTGGTTCCTCTCCCTCGGGAGCTGCGACCACTGCCAGCGGGGTAAGTGGCCGTCCTCACACGTTGGACTCATCGCCGACCAATGCTCCAGCCGCAAGTCCTGGTAGCCGCTCGCAGATTGTGACGGTCATTGTCATGAAGGACGAAAAGGGCTATGGCATGAAAGTGTCTGGGGATTATCCTGTTTATGTACAAAGCGTTAAACCAGGTAAGATAAATTAGATACTGACTATGAATAAGAACCCTTTATAATAAATGGTTCGAACTCATTGTTTTGCTAATTTCTGAAAATGAAAGACTTGCGACGTATGTCCTTAAGTCATAGGTCAAAAATGAATAAGTACGTTTTAGTCATATTGCTTTTTTGTAATTGTTATTTCCCTTTTCTAACTAGCTACTTCGTAGTTCCTTGGCGTTTTTGGAATTGAGTCTCTCGTTTTACACATAAGATAATTCGGCCCAAACGGTCTATTTATACTTTCGTCGTAATATCAGGTGCCTTACCATTAAACGATTATACTGATTTTTGTGTTGTTAATAATCAATGTACATTTTTTACTTTATCGAAATGTTAAGGTCGTTAGAATTATTTGTAGGTATCTAGGTAAAACGATATTACTTGATTGTATTCGTTTTCTTTTTAAACATTTCTACAAGTTATTCAATGTTCCACGAATTGTATAAACGTTTCTCGTTCTGGTTTTGAAGTCTGGCACTGACGACGGCAAATTATTTTGTTTAAATTCTATTACCTTGCGAACTTGTTAATGGCCTGTTTGGGTTTAATGGGATGCTTTTACGTGGTTCTTATTTTTAGATGTTAACTCAAACCCGTTCGCGAATTTGATCGTACCCACCAGTATCAATATACTCGGTATTTCTACATACATATAAATAAATTAATTAAATATGTACCCAGTTAGAAATAGAGGAAACAATAAGAAAGAACGAATGTCGCATGTCCAGATTGTTTAACTTCGAGGTCAGATTGCAAGTCGTTGTTACATGTACATTAAATATTTGTTACAAAAAAGTTTTGTATAATAAAATATGACCGTTTTCTACTGAACAACCACAGGTACATAGTACATATTATTAGTCTGTGTGGATGTGTGTGTGAAGTTATTATTTGACTAACTTAACTAGGTATACACATTAAGTTTCGAAGTATGTATGTAGTTCAATTTTATGAGTATGAGTACTTATACATACCATTATTACGAATGCGACACATATTTTAAATGGATTGAAATTGCACCCATTCTATATGACATTAGGTGATGAAAGCTGAATTTACTCATAATAATAAATACTATTGTTTTGCTTATAAGAAAAGGTAGTAAAAGCAATTGTATGTACAGGATGGTCAATAAAAGTGAGAGATAGGACAATCGGAGACTTTAGATGGTTCAGCTACAAACATTGTGGCAAAATGTAACATATTGATATGGTTAAAGAGACGTCTAAGACACAATAATCTGGAAATATTAAATTTAGTGCCCGCCACAAGGTGTCTCATATTTTTATTTGATGTTGTGAAAAAAAAAATAGTTTTAATGTTTGTTTTACCACAACACACATACAGAATTAAAATATATCTAGTAGAGGTTGGTGAACCACGTTCTTGTTGTTATCTTTGATGCAGTCTCTTGTTGTACAGTTTAATTATTGTATAGTAATATACGTCTGTTTATCAGTGTATTTGCATTTAAAAATACGTAAACTTTTACAAAAATTTATCTTGATTGTAAACTATGCAAGGGCAGTTTTAACTCTTGTTGTTAACTGCAACTTTAACTTTTGTACCTAATTAAAATAATGATGAGAAATTTCTCAATTGCTCCATTTGCCATCGATCTTCATTATCTTCTAACAAGATTATATTGTTAATTTCACGAGGCAGCCTGTCGTGTTAACTGTTTATTAAATTAATTAACCATCAATCACTTTCTAGTGTGTTAATGAACCGAAACATTGCTGAATTATAAAGTTTACATGCTTTTAGCAAACTAGACAGGCTAAGGTCCTACATTTGTATACAATTTCGTCAAAAGGCCTAATTTTTCCAAGTTAATATAAACTAAAAAAACCAATAGCATCAAATGAAATAATTTACAATGTTTTGTAGCTCATTATTATTATTATTATTGTTGTTGGGTTTCGAAATCCTATCTTTTTTTAATGGTTATTGTTACATTTCAAAGGCGTCTAAACAAGGTTTGCTTGATGGAGCCATCATATGCATATCATAATTATGATATGTAGCATGATGTTACATATATTTTAAAATCTCATAGACTACTACGCAATCCAAGGTCATGTCCTATGGGATTCGATTCTAAATTGCCTCTAAGAAAGATCGCTTTTGATGGCAGCGAATAGTTGTCTCATTTTGTACCCCCCATTAAGATGGGAAGTAGATTTGAAAGGCCAGGTGCTCGAGCTCCGACTCCGGGGCATCCGCTGTCGGTTCTTCCATAGTCCTTTCAATTCACCTCCTGTATTTACCATTTACTCTGAAACCGGAATTGGTGTGTAAACTGTTTCCTCATGCATATGTATGCATATTGTAAACTTTTTTAAATCTACTTATACCAATAGTACAGGTAACGCCTAATAAAAGTGACTTTAAAAAGGTATCGTTTAGTAATAAGTTGCTGATTTTCCTCTTTCTTTTTAAACATAAACATAAAGCTCGTCATAATATTAGTATAGATTGAATGTTTTTCCTTGCTCTTTTAAAACACATCTGGTGAAAATATGTACCTATCGAGTAGGTAGCTAATTTGAAGTTATTTATGTATATTTAAGCTCCAATTCATTAACGAAAGCATATTGATATAAATGACTAAGGAATTAATGTTAAGCACCAAATAAAAATTATTTCCGTCGTAATCCTTGGCCATCCCGTACCAGATAGTGGTAATGAAACTTTTTTGAACCAGGATGTTTTTGCTGCTCTGTCAAATCCAAAATAAAAATAGAAAATTTATTTGACGTTGAAAGCCACAAGTGTAAGAATAATTTGAAACGAACATAGATTAACACATTTCTATGTCGTTATTAATATAATGATTATTAACGATTACAGAATCAACTCTATAGTCTGTATCTATCTATGCACAAATATGAATTAACGTTAAAATGATGATAATTTAAGGGATGAAATGCTTTGTATGTTTGTGTTAATGTGTGGCAGTAAGTACATTTTCGATTTTCAGAAATTTTTTTTCGCAAAAAAGTGTCATGCTATTGTCTATTTGAACATTGACAAAAATTTAAAGGGAGGTAATCAAAAGAAAAGCCTAAAACGTTGTCGTGATTGTGGTTAATTTGATTGATTTTCTGTTTTATAAATTAAACAATCAAATTTTTAAAGGTCTTGAATTCTTAAGTACATATTTTATCATTTTGTCTGTTACATGACGAGATTGCACTGTTTTATTTTTTGTCTTGACTCCTTCCCGTTTTGTAGTTTTATTTTTACCGCTGTTGGACTGGGTTAATCTCCTTTATAACAGTGTCATTTCAACGATCATCACATTAGCCTTGATCACAAGCATCGTTTATTCGTTTTATGTGGTTTCGAGTGTTTCTTTTGCTGTATACACACGTAGAGAGATTACGCAGTTGACAGGTTCGAAACGTCTCAATTTTACGCGTGACTTGTGTCGCGTATATGGTTCCTTTTCTGCGCCAGCATAATATAAGGATTGTTTTGTATCGAATCGGCGGACAATTTAGTTATTGTATTAAATTTAACTAGACGTTTGCTACCAGAAATTTTGTTCGTCGTGTGTTTGTTCATTCCGTCAATAATTTTTACAGGAATAATTAATAAATTAACCGTGATAAACGATACTCCACAGTCCTACACCCTACTGATAAGGGAACTTTATTTATGTGGAGAGGGTTGAAAAAGATTTCCTTTATTAATGGCACGCTAACATCCGTGTACGAACGAAGAAAGTACGGCATTCCTTCCTGGATGTAAAATCCCAATAGTCAAAGTTCGTACTGTCTTCCCGAAGAACGTAGCTGAATTTTTACCATTAAAGTGCAAAAAAATGCATTTACTGTTTATTAGGAAACTATACGTTAGTGTCCTTCGGTCGAGGGAGGAAAATTTGATTTCTTACCCGCGAGGGAATGTTGGGCTTTCGTCTTGAAACCATCAGGGAAAACTTTCGTACATTAAATGGGGGTATGGGAAAATAGTATATTACTCACCAAGGGATGATAGTACTTTCTCTCCCGGGTGTTCGGGCCTCTGGTAGCAATTCGCACCTGGGAAGGAATGTCGTACTTTTTTCTCTTGGTATGGGCTAGTCTTTCCCAAGTGGGAGATAAAGGCCCTGAAGTCTAGACTGTAGAAGTGTAGAGGAACTAGACCAGATTAAGACCCATATGATACACTAGAAATTAAAGTAATTGAAAGGGAAATGACTTAACATCATCGTTTTACTGAGTAATATTTTTGTATGTCCCTAATATATTTAATTTTCTTTGTGTTGATCGCACTTAAAAAACATTTGACAGCTACTATTTTACTTTTTTATTTGTTTCAGGTGGTGCGGCTGAAAAGGCTGGTTTACGACGAGACGATAAGATTATTAAGGTAAGTTGAGTTTTATATTGTTGCGAATTTCTTTCAATTGCACTAATAATGATACATGTTAAAGGTCAATGGAATAAATGTCATGCACTCTACCCACTACGATGTCGTCGAGCTTATAAAAAGTGAGTATTTTATAATACATGTTATACATAATATGTGCTTGTTTAACCACTAACATACATTTACGATTAGAGATACTACTTACTGTTTTACATATCTACTAATAAGCAATTCTGTGCTAACAATTTTTAGATAAAAAATATCGTCAAGGATCGGACGAAAATCCTGAAGAATTTGAAAGTGATTATCGCGAATTTAAAAAAAATTACATGTCTATTTAATAAATTTATAAAGCAATAAATTTTGTTTTATTATTTCGTGAACCATTTTACTAAATGCAAATTATTATTTATTGATCTGTTTTGCTTGTTAATTGTCTTTATTTTGTAGCTTTTTAAGGTGGAGGTCTTATCAAGGATAATTTATTTATGATTTACTAATAAAACAATTTTTTGACAGCGTGTCGATTTTATTCAAATTATTTTAACATGTAATGTATGTACGTATGACATTAATCTAAAAACTGCTTCGTTTATTAATTAAGTGTATTAGGTGCTTACAGAAATTATTTATCTAAAGAAAGTACGATGTTTTCTCTGATGTCAGAGACGTAAGCGCAACACAAACTTTCAGGTAAGAAATCGCATTTACTGTTTATATGAGGGACGTATTTTATCATTTCCTGCGGGGTTTCTATCCTAGCCTTGGGCCCGGGTGGCAATTTCTACGCCGGGGATATTAAAATACTGCCCTAGTAAATTAGTAGTAGTTTATTTTGTTGTATACCCTATGGTATTTGCAATCTTATTAACTACTATGTTAACATAACTCTAAATCCTAAAAATCATCATCGTGAGGTCGTCAGTCCTAAGACTGGTTGGAAACGCACTTCCACTCCTTCCTATCCTGAGCTAATCTTCGCGTTTCCTCAAAACTGGAACAATCCACATTCTTAACTATTTGCGAACAGTAATCTAATCTAGCTCTACCTCTACCCCTTCTAACTTATGTTCCTGCCTCTAATATGTCTCTGACTAGACCTTCATGCCTGAAAAAAATACAATAATATAAATTCTTTACACAATTCACACAATTTTTACTTTCACTCAACAACACTACATTCCTTCATTCTTTTAACCAACTCCTGTCACTCTTATTCCAAAATCTTACACCCCATGTATTCCCTTATTTGTTTCTAAAATATTCGCACAATTCGTCACATATATCTCCCTTCAAAGCATCCACTATCAACTTTCTCAAAATTATCCTCACTACGGTTTCCTGTCAATTCCCTCCAAAACACTTTTATTCCCTCCCTCTATATTCTTAATGCCTCTTTACAACATAACAAAAGTGTCAGACTCTCTTCCCTCCCGTCGCACAATCTACAAGTCCAATCTGTGTATCTTTTTTTGAAGGCCCTTCCCATATTCCCATATTTTAATTTTGCCAACACTTATTCTCTTTTTCTGGCCCTTTGCCTCATATACTCTGCCTCATAACCATCCGACGAGAAATTCCTATACAAGCTATTATACGATGAAGCTGTGATAGCTTCCCATTCCTTGTTTAATTGCTTTATCATTAAAATACTATCCTAATAAGTAAATGGGATTTCTTACTTGGGAGGCTGTATTGCACTTTCTCGTCCCTGAAATCGAGAAAAATCGTACTTTTGGGGTAAGTGTATTGCAAAAATGTTATACGGGCCTTGGTAAAGAATTACGGCATACCTACCTGGAAGTTCGCCGAAAAACCTTCGCTTGGGTGACAATTTGCACTCGGGAGATAATGCCTTACATTCTTCCGTGGTGCACAATACCAGTACTATTAATCGTATAAAAAAATTATTGTTTATTCTTACTAATTGTCCACTTTTTTTAACGGACATTATAAATAAACAGGTTTTAAAGTTCAATTATTAAATTAAATAATTAGTAGCAGCAGTCCTTCCTGCTGTGTTTTCCCAACTTTTTTATTACACTACCACCTAGTATGTACGCGAAAGTTAGTTCTTTAAGTGAAACACCCTGTCATACATCATCATCGTCATCATATAATATCCTCGTATCTTTCTAAATAGCTGAAACATTTCGTTTAACCTGCGTATAATAGTTAATTTTTTATGCTTTTTATGTCGACGAATGAGTTCGAGTTTAAACGAATAATCGCGACTGTGTTTGGCACGCATGTTCCTATAGGAAAATGTACCCAGCGCCGGGACAGTTGTTTGGACAATTTATTTGCTAAATCGAGGTGTTTAGGATTTGGGGCCGGTACCGGTATTAATGGGTACTTTTTGAACAGCGCGTCTTGTTTTTTCTTTTGCCGGGGTCGCGAAATTCACAACAATTCTGATAGTGAGTGTTCTTCAAGTTATTGTTTTAATACCTACTGTGACTAAAATGATTTTGAAAATGCACCAGTGGCAGTGTACATGCATACATATATTAACTTAATAATTAATTAAAGAAAGTGATTTTATACAATTGGTTATGATTATGAAATTAAATCGATGGTTTCATACACCCACCAAGTGAATTGTACTAATGGAATCAATAATATCGTAGAGGAAGATCATTATCGAACGCTCCTTGAAAAGGATACGTAATTGCAGTTTTATTAGACACACATACGTATACCTACTGGATTCCTTGCAGGTACGATGTGCAATTTATTTTTACACTTTTTGGAATCATGAATCATAACTAGCGTACAATGACTGTTTTGTTTCATAAAACCTACGTTTACCTACACATTAATATAACAGTAATTGTTTCGTTAATTAGTTTAAATAATTTATTGTTACTATTTTACATATATGTATTTTACTTTTATTGCTATTTTCATACAATCTAATTGTAAGCATATTTATGAACTTATTTATTTTTGAATGATTTAATTGTTTTTCATCATTTGCGCAAATATACCAAAATGTGTAATCATATAATAAAATGTTTTTACTTTATTTACATACATTATTACATTTTCTTTCTCGTTACTATTTCGTGTATAAATAAATAAATAGTTACGTTGGTACATCTTAGATATACACCTGTATTTATTACGTATTTCGTCTTAAAATAATGATTACGTTTTTGAATTGTCTGAAAACTCACAATGTCAAAAACGTGGTTGTTGTTAGAAGTACTACATGTGCAGTAAAGGTAGAAGTCGTTAATAGGCAATTCCTTAATATGCTTTACTAATGATTTCGTTAATGACTCGATTGATGAAAATAGAAAAGTACCTAAACACGTTGGGGTATTTTGCTGTTTATTACATGACATAATCAAAGATTGTATTCAATAAAAACACATGATTATTTATTACCGTTTGTTCTATCCTTTTAATCTAAAATCGTGCGTGCATCATTAGTTTAAAATGATGATTTCATTTGTTTTAGTGCCTTTTGGCAAGGGTCCATGACGATTGTTTTCTTTTTTTATAGGTATGTTTTTAATTTATTTGGATACATTTGTTGATATCCTGCGACATTATTTTTTCTCCTATCTGCGCCAATTTTTTTAATTTTTTTGATAAATCTCTGTACTTAGTATGTAAAAACCAACGTTAAATTTTAGATGTAGTTACAATCAGGTGGGATAATAATCTATGTTTTTTTTAATGGTGTCAGTGTTTGAAGGCCATCTAAGTATATATATATAGATACATAAGTGACTTTTACTTAGTTTTTTTAAGCCTGATTGTGAATTACACCCACTTGCAACGATTTACATGTACACATAAATGCACTTTTATCGTTAGATTGATGCATATTGTTATACATAGACTTGAATTTTGAATCAAATTGCAAATACATATGACGGTGATGTAATAAACATAAACGCCGTAGGCCGAATGGAACAACAACTGATATATGTAATAGCAGTTAACTATTAAGATTTCGATTAATTAATTATCAGAATTAAAGACCAAAGTGTTCACGAGTTTTATTTCTCGGTACCTTGACGTCTAAACTTAGAACTGCTTTCTTCTGAAATACGACTACGAATTTAACAGAAATTTACGAGAAATATTGCGTGTGTTTTATGATTACGTGAAGAAGACGTTCAAATACTGATACGAAATTACGATACATTAGGTATTTAGAAAGAAACATTAGATAAATAAATGACATAAGATAACTGAAGTTACAATTTTTGGAAACTGAGCATGTTAACATTTAAATAAGTTCATATATATTTTGCGATAGTTACGTATGTGCTGCACCTACAAATATAATTTTGATAGCCATTCATATATACCGTTACTAATTACTTGAACCTGTTAGTAATTGCTAAATAATTGACGATTGGTACATATCTAAAAAATGTTTTCAATATTGTTTTGATAATTAATTGCCTAACTAGTAAATTGAATACAAGTAAAGGATCTGACCTGATAGGGACCATTAGGTAGCTAGGATACTTATACCTATCGTGAATTATTATCAAAATCGAACTCTTCAGCGTAAGTATATTTGTAAGAATTCCTTATTTCCACTTGATAACAAGATAATAAGTCCTTTTTTCATTAATTCGTTGAATCGCATCCTTTTATTGTGCGCTTCACAGCTCCACCATGTGTAACCTAAACAAAGGAGCAAGGGGAGCGTTGTTGCTCTCATAGTGCCTCGCGCACTGGTGGAAAGTACATTTTACCATACCCCTACTGATAGTACGCTGTTTTTAAAGGACAACTTTCCCCTCCGGGTGAGCGCATTTATTTCTTATTAGGAATGTATTTTACCAACCTTTGCATAGTTACCACTCTTGCCTTTGATTCAGAGGGTAATTTTCATGTGGAGGACGTTACAGTATGACATCCCCATCTGAAAGCTGTTGCCTTCCTTTGGAATAGTAGGCAATTCACACCCGGGAGAGAATGTTATACTTTCTTCAATTGGCGCGTTTTATACTATTTTATATATATTTTCTGTTTCTTCCCCTAGTTTTGATACGAATAGAGAGTGAGAGTCAAGAGGGATTGTTAAGATTTTATTTAATCCAGTGTAAAACCGACACCAACATTTTACCCCTTTTTGAGACTAATTAAAAAA